AGTGGTCAACAGACAAATACATAACAATTTTGTGAGGACCAGTCTGTAATTCAACACCAGAGCCTGATACATGCTGTACCAAAATACCTGTTAAAGTATACGGATGTTTGATGTGAGGAACACAGAGGTGTAAAATACAGTTTAGGGGCTGAGAAAAACGTGGCTAGATGGTGTGTGACACTGGTGTGTGAGGTTTAGTCTTGATGGAAGGGGGGAAAAACAAGGAAACTCGCTGATGGAACCAAGATGTCCAGGATAGTGTTCATAGGAGAGGGTCAGCATAGAACACATGAAGAATGGACTGTGATGCTATCCACATGGTGAGGAGAGCAGCAGTGACAACGGACTAGAATATACAGCAGGTTAGGGGGGAAGAATAACATGGAAATGCATTAAGTAGGGGTCTTTGGAAGTCAAGTACCTCCAAGCTAATGGAAAGCCAGACCCTGTTCTATATACGTACAGTATATTATACTACATGTGTGTTAAATACTGTGCTATTTCAATAATACACAGTTACACACACACAGATATATATATATATTTACTTGCAGGAACTATGAGTATTTTGTGAGTGAGATGGACTGCTATTTATCAACATGCCTTATCAAATGATACGATGCCAATCAACATTGTCTGTCAGTCCCACAGTATTCAAGTGAAGCTATATGTAAATACATCAGCCTTGTTTGAAAATGAACTGGTTTATACCAACCAAAATCAAAAAGTTTTTGTTTTTTTTCCCAACTGTATTTCAGAGAAGCTGTAAATCATGGCGGTGCCTTTGGCCTGTGTGGTCTGTCTGTGCCTGTTGGTGGTCGTTACATGCGAGCCCTGCCTCATCATCAGCGAAATCAATGCCGACAACCCCAGACTGGACACCACTGAGTTTGTGGAGCTGTATCACACCAGTGGACAACGGGCTACACTGGACGGCTACACGCTTGTTTTTTACAATGGAAATGGAAATGTAGCCTATAAGGTGTTGGATCTCAAAGGCCACAGCACAGATGACAGAGGGTTCTTCCTGGTGGGCTCAGTGGACATGATGCCCAAACCTGCCATCCCCCTGCCTCCCAACACTGTTCAGAACGGTCCAGATGCCATCGTTCTGTACCACACATCTGCTGCCCGCTACAGTGAGAAGATGAACGTAACCTCCGTAGGAATGGTGGACGCCATTGTGTACATGACCCGCCGAACCGGGGGCGCGGAAATCCTTGCAGAAATTCTGACACCTGGAGAACAGGCGTTTGTGGAGGACGAAACAGCACTTGAGGGGGACGAGTCGATCGAGAGGTGCCTGCTCTCCGAGGATCGCTGGGGCTTTCAGGTGTCATCACCATCGCCTGGTCAGCGAAACAACTGCACCCCGCCTGCAGCTCCAGTAACCAGTCCAGTCATCACTGAGTTGAGGCTGGGGGGAGGGCAGGTGGAGGGGTTTGTGGAGTTCTCAGATGCTCCAGCTGCTGGTCCTCTGGTGCTGGTGGTGTTGGACGGGAGAACAGACACAGTCAGTGTGAGCATGGATGTGAATGTTGAGGCTTCCAGGAATCTTTTGGTCTCCATGACTATAGAGAAAAAGTACATGAAAGGTCAGTGGGAGCCCTTGCAGCGGTTCATTGCTGTTCAAGACGCCAAAAGACCTAATTTGTCTATTTTTTTCTTAGGAGATGAGTCTGGAGCAGTGGCCATTTACAGCGGCAGAGCTTCAGACTTCCCTGTGGGCAGTTCTCTGAGCCAGATACAGCCTTTAGATGCCTTTGTGTTCGCAGGGCCTGGAAAAAAGCCTAGCGCCAACCTCACAGAGACTCTCATCCCTGGCAGACAGCCTTACCAACTCAGCAACAGGCAAGAAACACGGACAGGTTTCTATTCATATGCAACACAGAACATGTGAGAGAGGGGAAGGAAGAGGTTCAAATGGTATTGTTTAGTGAAATGTATATCTATGGCACTCACCCAAAGGTTGCAAATGTAAATTTCAGTGACATATATTGTACCTAAAAAGATAATCACATTGATTGTTAGTCAGCCAAAAATACAGCAAAAATAGAAACACAAAAGAGAGTTATAAACAACATTACTGTATGTATATTTAATTCTATCTGTCTTCCATCTATTCTGTATATAAATAACAAAGGTAAGCCAAAGATACAGCATAGGAAGAAAACATGTAATGCAATCAAATATAGAGAATCTAGATAAAAATGACAGCTAGAATTTAGACCAGAAATGACTAAATGTTAGCGAAGAAGACATTTGTGTATGGATCTGATGTAAAAGTTTTGTGTGTGTGTTTTTTTTTAAACATTGTGAAAATGTTTTGGAGGGATTTAGTCACTCACACTGGTCATCTTGTGACCGTTTATATTTTTTGCTGACACTTTTCCTGTGTCAACATGTGGCTGCCGTTTGAGACACAGATTCCACGTAGGCTGAGGTTTGATGCAACATGTATATGTTGGACAACAACAACAACTTCAGCAGCTCACCTAATCCCAATTTAAAACCAAATCTGCATTTAACCTCACGGTGGTGCTAGAACAGAGGCTTGATGATGATGCTGTCAGATGGGGTCATTGTACAGGGAACAGTAACCGCAGGTTAGCTGTGCATTTGATTTATATCTAGAAAGTCCTACCTAGAGTAAGTTATTATCTATTGTATATGATTGATTTATTATTTATTATCTTACACAAAACTACATCGATTTTGGAGTTGAATACTCCAGATGTGTCACGGTGGTTGTTTCCTAAAGATTCTCTTCTCTTGACAGTCTGAGAGAGGGAGGTTTCTACCTAAGTCGCTGTGGCGTGGCCTCCTGGTCCAGAGATCCTGGTGCCTTCTGGGAGGCTCCACAAACACCTGGACTCCCCAACCAGTGTCCGTGGCCTAAGATCTGCCCTTACAGTTTTGGTCAGTGTTTGACTGAGTGTCACGGTCTTCATTTCTGTATACATGTAACAATATAAACACCAGGCACTGTTGTGCTGGTTCATGGCTGGTATGTAAGTACTGGTTGTTGTAAGGGATTATAATCTGTAACCATCAATCTAGTAGTAGCTTCCTTTTTTTTTTCAAATAGGAAATAGACAAAAAACAAACATTTTCTGTATCCTTACTACACTAGACAAGATTTGCTATCATTTAAAGATATTTTTAAAGCACTCATACTGTCCTCTTAGATGTGTTAATATTTTAAAGCATTCATACTGTCCTCTTAGATGTGTTAATAAATGTCACTAAAGTGATTTAATTTGAATGATTTATTTTGAATGGTCCAAGTCAACCTGCAGGCGATTCTGGAAACAGAGGATTTTTTTCAGCTGTAAGTTGCTTGCTGCCATCTAGCTTCAGCCTCGGGAAGTGAAGGCAGCAATGGCTCCACTCCATGGACCTGGAATAAACTTTGAAAGTGTTAAAGTCTGTCATGGGAAACAGTGCTGCCTGAAGTTGTTTTCAACTGACTTTGGTTAGGGTTATATTCTAACTTTCTCCAATAAATGCTTGTGTGTGCGCTCCAGTGAATCCAGGAGGCACCGATTCACCACCTCACCTCCCACCATGGGGCAACAGTGACTTCCTGATCAACGAGGTGAACACGGACACACCAGGGACAGCCGAGGACGGGGAGTACATCGAGCTTTGGCACCCATCAGGACGCCGGGTCTCACTTCAGGGAATCTGGATTCTATTATTCAGCGCACACAACAATAAACCGTACAGAGAGATCAGCCTCAGTGGACACTTCACCACCTCCAAGGGTTACTTCCTGTTGGGCAGTGATAGGTTAGTCCCAGCTCCTTCACTCCGCCTGCCTCCCAACACCATCCAGAATGGGCCGGATGCCATGGCGTTGTACCGCAGCCCTTTTGGGCCACCTTCAGCTACACAGAGAGGGATCCCCACCAAAGGCCTGTTAGATGCAGTGGTGTACCGCCAGAGAGGGTCAGACAAGGAGGCTCAGGAGCTGAGCAAAGCTCTGACACCAGGACAACTGCCTCTGCTGGAGGATCCTGAAGTTCTGCCTGGTGACGAGTCTCTGAGTCGCTGTAGAGGACTTTACCCCTTCGACCTGTCTGCCTTTTCTGTGAGTAGACAAGAAGAATCATCTTTCCAAACGTTAGTAGTCATTGTTAGTAGTTGTTTGATTTAAATGGTGACATTGCGACATCTCATGCTAATTCCACAGATGCGAGGTGGCTAATATTTTTCAGTATTTAATACTAGGCTCCCCGGGTGCTTAAAGATGCTCACTGTTCACTTTAGTGATGGAATTAAAGCAGAGGTCACATTTGGTTGTGTGCAGTGACGTGCTGTGTCACAATGACAAGCAGTAGTTCAGTTCACTTTTGTGTTATTTAGCACTTGCCTTTTTGGACTGTATATGTCATTAATTCTACTGACAACTTACACTACAGACCTTTAAACCATTTCCGTCGTGTTAACATGTGACATATGTATTAATCATCACAGGTGGCTCCTCCCACACCTCTGAGGGACAACAGCTGTCCACGCCCATCTCCCGCACCTGAAGGTGTGGTCATCAATGAAGTAGCCAGTGAAAGCTGGACCCATCACAGCAACCAGAGGGCTTTCGTGGAGCTGCACGGTCCTCCTCTGACTGAGCTGCGAGGCTTGTTGTTGTCAGTGTTTGACCAGGAGCGCAGCGGCACGGTTATGGCTCTGCCCCTGACTGGATCAATCAATACAGATGGATTTTATGTTATTGGAAATGTCAGTGGGGCAGGTGAGAGCTGGGGTAGACACACGTTAAAATCAAAATGAGATCAAACTGTGTCACAGTACAGAGAGATGGGATGAGATGTACTTGATAAGACAAGATATATGAGGATCAATTAAGACAAGGTGAAATGTGGTTAAAAATACAGGAGTGATGAGTGGTGTGTTAGATAAGAAGAGGCAGGAAAGTAAGAGAGCAACAAAGGTGAGTTGATAAAATTAATTTTGAAGAGATAATTAGCATGAGGTTACACCGGAGCAGATTAGATTATATGAGATGAGTTTTTGATAGGATACAATAGCAGTTGGTCAGATGAATTAGCTGAGATCAGAGGAGATACAAATGTTTAATAGACTGCTAGTAGCTATTTAGATGATGATGTTGTTAAATGCTGGATCAACTTTTAACAACAGTATTTAGTGACAATAGGTAGTGATGCAACCCGTGTCCACCCTGCGAACCAGTCTGTTTTAATCTGACACTGTTAGGCTGTAACCCATGACCAAAGTTGAAACTTTCTCTTTGCATCCAGTTATACTGTACCACCACTCACTGTGCTCCCTCGTCTCCTCTCTCTCCTGCATAGATCAGACGTTTCCTGAAGGTTCCACGGTTCCAGAGCGAGGAGCAGTGGTTCTGTGCTACGACCTCTTCAGTATCTGCAGAGCGGGCACGGCCTTGACCAACTCCAGCCTCCGAGACGTGCTGGTGTTCAGTGACAACAGGAAACTGCTCTCCTCCCTGCCCACCAATAGAGGGAGCCCTGTTCTTCCAGCACACAGGTAGAATCTGCACCAACACAGAATAAGTTTAACTGTCATGTAATCTATAATTAATTGTCATAAGTTAATTCTTAGGATAATTAATTATAGATTTAATTACATTATAATTACTTAAAATAGATACATTTCAAAGCATCCCAGCTTTTACATTTTAGAGAACATGCAAGAAAAAAACACATCAAGGGTGATAAAGTGAAGCATATTCACAAGGTAATGAAAATAGTATTATTATTGTTTGCTAAACAAATGATTAAATGTAGGGTAAATGTTATCCATGGAAAGGTTAACTGTTAACCAAAAAGGTTAGCCAACCATTTCTTTAATGTTGCAAAAAGTGCCACAATGCAGCCAAATGGTAAGAAACACATACTTAGCTCAACAACGAAAGCCGAGAGACTTCAAAGTAACAGTCACTCTCAGTTAAGCAGAGACAGAAAAATATACCAAAAAAGCAAAAAAAAGTTGGACCATATATATTTCAGAAAACAAAATTCAATTCCCATGTCACCCATTTAGAGAATTGTTGTTGTTATTTTAGGGTCAGCAACCAGCTGAGGACCTCAGGCCAGGTTGTGGGCCCTGTTTGCTTGTTAGGTTTTTGGTCACAGTTAGACAGGAACAATGACCATGGTAACCCCCCCAGAACACTGCTAATTACTGTGGGCTAATGATCACAACCTGCCTGAACTGCCTGCCGTCCCACATCTACCTGACGATGCACAAATTAAGTGGTGGGTAGCTCTCCATAAGAAACTGGAAAACATGTTTTTCAGAGTGAGATCCTGTGGAGAGCAATTACAACCTTCCTTTGTAATCAGACATGATTTTAGTTATTGAATACACCATTATTAGCCAGATGTGTCCGTTTGAATTTATTGATAAGGATGTTTATGGATGACTGTCAGGTCTGAGGCAGTGACTATTCTGACACAGTGCCCACAGCTACAGTACAGTAGCTTCCTTTGAAGTCTGAAGAAAACTGTAAAGCCTAGTGAAATGTTAAAATAAAACTTATTGCTACAAAACAGTACTTTGCAGACTCAAACGTACTGTACGTACAAGTAGTACTATGAAAAACCAAAAACAGCTTGAAAAATAAGACCTTTTTGTGTGGACTACTATGCCTGAAAAAGTTTGCTGTTTAGTTGTTTAATAAATGCTACAAGGCTAACCTTACTGGTGCTGTCAACATTCCTACCAAACAACAACAACAAACGTAGTTTTAAATCATCACAGAATATTTCTGTAATTTGACTTCAAAATATTTGACTGTGTACAAGCTTAAATCTTAAATCTCCTGTTGCATCTGTGCAGATCAGTAGAAGACGGCATTGTCTCCCTAGGCCGGTGTTCATGCTGTGAAGTGAGAAGCCCCTACTCCTGGACCACCTCCTCCCAAACTCCTTTTTACCCCAATCTGTGTCCGAGTCCTGCCTTTTCAAGTCACATCAACCTTTGCATTGGTCCTCTGTCCACGGAGCACTCAGGAGGTAAAAGAATTAAAAACGCCTGGGTTAAAAAATAAATGTCTTAAAGTATCGCTTTTAAGGTAAGGGTCGATTTGTCTTTTGGCTGGTGGCTTTTTCCAGACTGCAGTAGCGGTCTGATCCAGGTGATGTGGGTCACTGCAGCGGCTGACTACCTGGAGAGGAGGTGCCACTGTGGGATCTCCCCCTTCCATCTAGAGGGTGAGATATGTCTGGACTTGCCTATGGTTTCTAATCACCAACAACAATAAAAAGGTCTTTAGGCCAACGACCCAGTCTCAGGTTTCTAACAAAGTGAGAGCTGTGAAGGTGATGGGTTCTAACAGATGTTGGTGTTTACAAGTTTCTTCATGTTTGCTCCCTTGACAACAGTGTCTAATAGCAAGCATCAAATTTACTCTAAAATGCCAGGTTAGTTCAGTATTGATGGATAGGATAGAATTTAATTGGAGCCTAAAAATAGCTTGCTCTGTATCGGTAACTACAGGAAGCTATAATTAAAAAAAAAGACAGCTGTTTTAAAGACAGTGTGAGGAGTTAGAAATGACCCTCAACAAAAGACTATTTTCACAGACTATTAATCAAAATAATCACAGCTGACTTAAGGTCGACTGCTAAAAGCTGAAATAAAGAGCAGTCACACCCGAGTGCACTTCAGTTTCAACCTCACAGCAGTAGGAGTGTGTTTTAACGCAGAAGTAAGTTCATAGAATAATAACAATGAAATGATCTTTGCCTTCATTTTCCAGAAACCAACTTCTCATGTGCGTCTGATTGGCTGCGAGTGTGGGGAAACATCCAGGCTCTGTCTAACCATCAGAAGGCCCTCATCATTGAGGCTTCGCACACGGATCCTTCACAGGACATGTGCTCTTCACCCACAACAGATCGTTATAAGAGCTCAGGTCAGAATAAGTGCACGCTCCTACTGAGGTCACAGCTTAAATCTCTTGGATTAAATTCCTTTCAAACCAAATGTTTCTAAAGCGTTACTATGTATTCAGCACAGAAGAAAATATGTTTTCAGGGTTTCAAGGTTTTCAATTACGTTCTGTTTGGCCTTTGAGAACTACTGTACTGCGGGGCTCTGTATATATAATCTTTGGAAATAGATAGTGGAAATACGCAAAGTGCATTAAAGGATAGAAACAAATGTAAATATGTCTTTTTTTCTCCACTGCAGCATCAACCCTGGGTCTACAAATCGGCTTGATTATATCACTCCTTCTGCTGCTGGGATTAGGAGCTGCTCTTTTCACCTACTTCTACAGGAGGAGGTAGGAACCCATTACTAAATATAGGAGCTCCCTATACAAAGGATGTTCAATTATCTGAATTCTTCCATCACAATGCCGAGAATTTGTTAATTGTGACTTTTTGTTCACTGATTAGTCCTTTCATACACGGTGTTTAATATGACAATTTCCTTAAATGAGTAATGGTCATCAACTCATTAGGATGTCTTTTTTTATCTTTAAATTTGTTATTTATATTAGAGTAAATATATTTAAATATATTAGAGTAAATTATTTATATATATTAGAGTAAATATATATAAATATATTAGAGTGAATTATTTATATAAGAGTAAATGAGTAAGTGACACACAGACAGCATATGACACCAAATGAAATAATAATAAATAAAATATATAGTTGATCTTGGGACTGTTAAATAATTTATAATTATAATTATAGTTTTTATTGTCATTGTAACACGGGGATACAATGACACTGAAGCCATCACCTAAGTGAACACCCACAGAGCAGTGAGTGGGGACACTGCCATGCTCAGAGCACCTCAGTGGTAAATTCAAGAGACAGAAGTAAATCAAACAATTAATAATAACAGTGACAGCACACATATCAATATTATATTATAATACACAATAATTGCTGTTATTATTGTTGTATGGTGAAGTTTATCAGAATATTATTATTAAGTAGAATAATATTCAGATGAGACCAAAATAGGTGATAAAAAAAATCATTTAAAAAGCAATAATATAATGGGTTAAGTTTGTAACCATATTAAGTAAAAAGCACTAACTAATCTTCCACCAGGAGCAACTTAGCTAAGAGCAGTAACTGCCTAAAATTCAGGGAGTAACAAAAGCAAAGTTTCAACGTCCAGATATTAGTGATCCATTACAGTGTATTGGATATTGACCAGCCCGCTCTAGACCCCCACTGTCTTTAAAAAAAATGATTAGCTCTATTCATTTCCATGATCGACTCAGAAACCATAGGAAAACATCACAACTAAGCCAATGTAATCAGTGCATTGGCAGTGTAGTAATTATTCAAAGTGCGGACTAAAGTAAATGACCCCACGAGACAAACGACTGTTTAATAATAAATTCTGTTGTTTACTTGTTTGCAGGCGTCCTCTGGATTATTACACCATGGAGTTGAATGAGCACGCAGAAGGACTATCGGATCTATAATTCAGGTCTGCGATCACTGCGTCTGCCTCTGGAGGTTCTCTCACATGTTGGAGGATTTCTGCAGAGACACAAAGGCATTGTGATTATTGAGTAGTCCCCACAGGTTCATTTGACCTGCTCCCAGTGATTCTGTGCTTGTTTGGTGGCTGCCCTGAACAACAAGTGTCCTTCCCAGTTTACTGTCTGAGAAATGACTTGTCGTTGTCTGTTTTTGCGGCATCTTCTGGACCCCCTAATAGACAGTCAGCGACAGGACATCCCATTTGGGCCTGAGTAGAATTCTGAGGACGTGTGAAGGTAAAGTGTTTACTGTACAGCAACTGCTGGCCACTACTTTATAAAGATTGTAAAGGGAGGTTTTATTCTAAATACTTGAGTATTACGTGGTTCATTTTGTTGACTTGTGTATGTTACTGTGGAGCACAGTCTGTCAGTGTAAATATGATATTATTTTCACTTTTCTTGGTTTTAAAAGGTCTTATTCGGGATGATCTGACTAGTACTCACATCTTTTATTCAGAATTAGATACGGTTCTGATGGTTCTACTAGTCCGATTAAGACCCATGACTCCCACAAGCAGGTGTGTCCAATGTTTGGCACTGAGCCCATTTGATTTTTGATTCATTTGATTAACAGTTACACCTTAAAGTCCATTCGTATTGATTAATCCTGACACCCCCCCCCCAACCCCCATTGACATATATTTGTTATGTTTTGAATGGTAACTATCTTTCTTTGAGAAAAGGACAACAGAAAAATGAAATGTCAAACATACACTTTGACTTGTTCATTCAGAATAACTTGCCTTTTATCCTTAATGCTGAATGCACTCGTTTGGAAGAGTACTTTTTGGGAACGTTTAGCTGTTTCATGGGCAAATCTTCAGCAATATTTTTTAGCACATTAGGGATATTTAGTCCATATTATGGCTACTTCTTATCTTCTGGTTAATGTTAAACATTTTAATTCTCCCTGCTGTCTTCTGCCAACTTTAAGCTAATTAATTTAGCACTTGGGTTTTTCCACATAGTTGTGTAATGTTTTGGCTAATTTAAAAAGAATAATTAATTTAGAGTGGCATTAGGGTTTTTTCTTTCAGTGCTGTTGTACTTAGAGACCTTAAAGATGTGCTCTTATGTACAAAATAACATATATATGTATATATATATAGTCATATACAGAACTGTGTTTTACTACTGACATGTTTCTGGCTGACATGCGAGCAGTTAGCATGCAAGCCACAAACATCCCACCAATCCAACAGCTGTGTCCTATACATATATTCATTAAATCTGCCCCCTTAAAAATATTTTTAGAAAAGGACATTTTGGATTCTTCGACTACAGAGTCTTGAGTTTCATTTTTGTTTTATGTGAATGACTAACCTGCGATTGTTTATAACCACTTGTTTCTGCTTTCTTAGCCCCTGTTTATTTTTCTCGAATGAAATATATATGAACATGCAAAATGGTGTTTTGTTAAATGATGTAATTTTTTTTTGTTTGTCATTAGTTTGGAAGAAAGAAATTAGACCTTTTGATGTGTAACCTGTCCACAGTGGCTCAGACATCTCTACTGTTGCTTTTTTACTACTTATTATAAGTGAAAAATGAGATGAAAATGTATAAATGGATTGTTTTACAGTGGAGTCCATATTGAAATGAAATATCAAATCTACTAAGACCTAAAGTGCCATTAAATAAACACAAACGTTATCCTTAAAAATTCTTCTTTTTTTTTTGTAGCTGTGCTACTTACCTTGTTGTGTTGCTTTGCACTTCTTCAAAGATGCACAAACATGTACAGCAGTATTTTTAATTTGTTAAATGTGCTAATGCTTTAGTTATCTTGTTGGTAATTTCAAGGTGTTGCGACTATCTTTTGAATTGCATCTTCTTGCATCTTCTACTTTTGGTGTTTAATGTGTCTATATTAATTTTATACAGATACTCTATTCTTGAATTTGTAAAAATTAATATTTGGTTAATTTACATTGACTGGAATTCTGCTACGAAATTACCCAGAACTGCCAAGACCTAAAGTGCCATCAAATTAAACAATCGTACTGTATCTTTAAAATATGTTTTTTTTTTTTGCACTTGTTCAATGATACACACACTTCAGTTCTGTGCAGAACTGTGTTGTGCTCATGGTTAATTTTATGGATTTTACTGAATTAGCTTTGTTATCTTTTGGTTAATTTCAAGATTTTGCAACTAGAAAATAAGCATTTCTTTTTTATTTTTAGCTAAATCTTTGCCATTTCCAACATTTTGTGGCACTTTTTAACAGTATCCTCTATTTTTATTTGATTCTGGGCCACTCTTGTGAAAGAGTTCTGGAAGGGTTTGGCCACTCTTTAGTAAATCACTATTTTCTCAACCATCAGAAACTAAGAGTTTAAATCAGAAGTTTCTTTTCAGTGTTCCCTCTGAGCTCATTTTTTTTTATCTGCGTTGTTCTTTCAGAATGTAGATGCACTGCAAGTGTGGGAAATTGAAAAGAAAAAAAAAAAGACACCTCCAGTTCTGCAACCTCTTGTGCACCAGGAACTAGTTCATATGCCACTCATAATTTCCTGTCTCAATCTCCTTAGCTACTGTTGCTGCAGCTCCAGATGTAATTTAGTGTTGCCAGTACCAGCAAATGTGTCTCATTTTTCTATTTTGCTCTTGTGGTTTAGATAACAACTGCTTGAGTGAGTGCTCGGACGAAAGCGTGACTAAACTGTGAAACGTGGCTTTGCCTCATGTTGTATGAGACACATTACTTTCGGCATTTTCACTCTCCGACCTCCAAACCACAGGAAAGAAGATTAGACAGACAGGAAGGAGCTGCTGCAGCAGCATCAGCATGAAACCTCATCTTGACTACACCTCAATAGCTGCTTCTTCGGTGTGCACTCAGCGTAGGTACTGCTAATTTCAAAATGGTGGTGTTACTGTATGAACCAAGTTAATAGGCATTATTTTCTTTGATAGTTGTACACACAGTTTCATCACATCCTATGGTGAGTTTTCTCATTTCTGATTTGATAGTTTATTTTTGTCTCTGGTGACTGCATAAGACAAATGTAACTCTATTGAAATCTGACTTGTGTGGCTTTTTTATTTCCTATATTTATCAACCACAGCTCTAGGGTAGAGCAAATTTCATGTCTTTAAACAACTGGAACTTTTTCTTTCTGGGCTAACTTTTTATCTTTTGTCACATTTACAGCTTTTCAACTTGTTTAACCTTTGACTGTTTTTACATTATTTCTCCCAGAGTTCTCTGCACTAAGCATTAGGCAACATGAGTACTTCATTTGGGTAGCTTAATTTTATATAACGGGGCTATCTTTTAGTATTTTCTTGCCTAACCTCTGGAAAATGTTGCTTTATTTTACTATTGATTATAATTGTTTTGGGGTTGTTTTTTTTTATTATTTGTTTTTTTTTTATTTGTATTTATTTTTTAGCTAGGTTTAGGGTTTGGGTTGACCCAACTTAAGCAGATTCTAGGCCAACCCTTCCTCAACTTTGCTAATTATCTTTTCAACTTTTGATTTCTAAACTGTGATCTAACAGAACTATTTCACACATATTTTTGTTACATTGCTAACTTTAAGTGGTTTTGACTCTTCACCAGCCCAGACTTTATAGCTATGCGCAAATAAAAAATACTGTACACATAGTTGTTAGTAGGGTGTACTACAAAGATACTAGCTAAAAATGTTTCACTCGAGTTTTGCTTTTCAGGACAAAGCAAAGGGCATTTTGTAGGCATCAAAAGCATAAAAAGTGTTTGGCCTGACCCCCGACCAGTCTGATGCCATTTTTGGAGGCTGTGTTGCGTGCATTTGAATGGTCTGTAAACTTGACAACGGAAGTTTATAGAGACTGTCATCTACTTTTAAGGTTGAGGTTTTTCTTATCTTCCTTTATGACAAGGCACACGATCAGAAATACGCTACACAGGAAAATGATCTGCTCTTTGTCACACATTATATTAATAGTTTTGTGACGTCTGACAATACCTTCTGACATTTGTTGAATTTCACTTTGAATGTTCAGAGTCAAACTAATAAAAACATGTTCACTGCTCTGGAGTCGGATGTAGAAATATATGAACCCAAATTAGAAGCTTATATTTGGACATTTACCTAATACAAAACATTTACGTATTGTGCACCTTTTCGTCTTATTGAAAAGTCCGGTGGTACTCGTCCTCGATACGGACACGTTATACAAACAATTATACAAGCTTTTTGTTTTTAGGAAATAAAAGGTGGGATGTCCTACCACACAGCTAGGCTTTTCCGGTATACCACCCAATTAGAAATGAGCGGGTTACCTTTCTTTGACCTTGGAGTTTCAGTAGTAGTTGGTCTTCCTCGGTCGAATACACCTAATTAAAAAAATATTAGATTGTATTATCCATTTTGTCAGACCAAGTTTCAATATAAAAATACCCCTGTTACCAATTGTGCTTATGGGGGCTGTCAGTCATGAACCTCGCAGCACATCACTGCCCCCTATCAGTTCGGCATAGTACTTTCAGCCTCACCCTGTAGAATTGTTCAGCGTATTCATGGCAGATCAGAAAGAATAAACACGTCACACACACTCATTAAATATATGAGACCGACTGCGGAACGTTAGCATGTGTAGTAGACGTGATGGTATATTAACTATAAAAACAGACAGTAATGGGCGTCCGCCAACAGCGCTAAATCTCGTCGCCTCTGCTCTTCGCCTGTCTCCCCTGTTTTTGAACACGAAAAGCGTAAATTCAAAGAACAAATTGATTTTCTCCTGTCATTGTTAGTATTTTACTTGTCATGGTGACAGGCGAGGCACTGCCTCCACCGACCGCACGTCTCTGGTGCAGTGATCTGTAACAATCATTCAGACATGAATGTGTAAAGGTCAATTCTTCTTAATTAAGGTGATGAAACCATAGGCGTATAATGGAAAGCATCTATAGGCGTCTATGCAGAGAGCTCTTCTTGAAGACTGTGGAACATACACACACATTGACCTGTTACGAGATTAAAGTCTCGGCAGCAGCTGTTTTCTGGAATCCTTCCTGAAGCTGTGCTCTGACATACAGAAAATAAACAGAAATTATAATAACAGACAGCGGAAACGTTTTGAGTAAATGTACTGCCGCCTACTGGGGCTATTTCTCTCTGCAGGTTTGATCCGCAGGACGCTATTGTGAATTAATTGTAGATTGTAAAAATCTATTTGAATAATAGTAATCGTATTTGAATTAAAAATGAATACATTTTTGCAAGCAGTTTTAAATTATTCGGACATATTTTCTTTTATTGGTAATCTTGAAGAACCAGTAACAACTTTACTGTATTTATTTGTAAAAACATTTATTTACGTTTATTTTTGTGTGCTGTGTGTTAGGTTTGTCATACACCTGTTGGACATTAACGTTTGGCGTGAGGTGCATTCAGTGGACATTCAGAGGGCGTAAATCCATAATATGACCCAGGGCACCAAAATGTCTCGTCCAAGGGTGAACACTTTCATCCAAATCATCCCAACCGTTTTCAAAAGAAAAGAAAACTTTTCTTTCTTAATTTCTCCAACCTTACTCTTAGTTTAAACACAATCTGACTACTAAATTATTACTAAATATTATGGGCTTTTTGTGAAATTCCCTTTTAAATAAGTAAATCTTCTAAATTAGCGTCCACCTGTTGTTAATGTCCATCAAAATAACCGTGACAAGTCCAATCAGAAAAAACCTTTAGAGAGATGCTGGAATTTTCACTTAATTAAATCTTCTAATTACAATCATACCTGAGCATCTGCTGTTTGCAGCAGATGTTGAACATTTTGTGTTGGTGTTTTTATAAATCTGAAGAGCCATCTGTTTGACAACCCGGCTTCACTGAACTGATTATTTCATTTTTAATTTGTCAAGAGCAATCTTAAAATCCAAGTCAACAAAGGGCTCTTTAACAGGGGGGTCCGTGTCCAATCAGGGTCAGCAGAGTTACTGCAGAGGGGTCGTGAACTTTCCCACATATCAACATTACTGCTGTCAAAGCTAGACTTCTGGGCCTGAACTTGGGCAGAGGGCTTATTTCTTGGCCATGGTGCGGGGCTGACTCACATGTGAAAGATACAGTACCAACTAACAAAGCTGTTGAATTCATTTACAAATTCTGAGCTGATTAAAAACATCCAACACTGTTCTGAAGTAGCTGTTGGTTCTCTACGTTAGATTAAAAACTTTGTAAGGTACTGTGTATTTGGCGCTTAGTTAGAACCCATAGTTCTTTACCTTGATTGATTGGAGTGTTTAACCATTGTTTCTTCTTGTAATTATATTTTATTATCACATTGACACAAACAGAAAGTCCTTCTAAAAGTTTCTCATGGAGACAAGAGCACATTATGACTCAATCATGGACCGAAGCAAACGAATCACATGGCAGGACGACTGCTACGTCGAACTTCAGTCCACTCCCACCTCTGTCTCTTCACAGTCAGAAGCAGAAGGTAAAGTTGTAGTTTTGTAGTAGTTGTTTTAGCAAACTCCCAAAGGTCACAACATCTGTAAAGATGTTCTCCGCTTTAATACAGGTCCCAGCTGGATCCAAACGCATCGAGACCAGCTGCTGCGTTTCACCACTCACGACTTCTTGAAGGAGATGTTAAACCATCTAAGAAAACTGGATGTGCTGAGTGCAGCTGAGGAAACAAGTATCATGCAGGCAGGTGGGCTGCACGACCAGAGTAACCAGCTCACAACTATTATCAGCAGCAAAGACAGCCAGGGGGCAGATGCCTTCCAGGGATTCATAGAAAGCTCTGATTCTCCTGTGGCTCAGCTCATCATCAACCATGGTAAGATACTGTGTTGACAGTCCAATGCTGTCAAAAGTGTTAAAAACGTTGCTGAGGACACGTCTGGTTTTTGTTCTTGTTAGCAAACAGACAGCACTCTTTATTATTTTGTCCTACTTCTACTTTCTGATCTGTCCTGCCTGATGTTGTCGTTGCAGTCTAAGGAATGTGGCCTTCTTTATGTGTGTGAAACAATATGCAGCAATTCAGGACTTTTTTTTGAAGTGAAATGCAGAGCTGTTTTTAAAAGCCATGTTGTGTTGCTCTTTAGCACATTAAGTGTAAAAAATAAAAAAAACATTGTGTTTAATGGTTGACCTATTTTAATATTTGCAATTGTGAATTGATCTATTTCTATGTTCTTGATTATTCTTTCGATGTTCCTGTTTTTACAGATCACATGGTGAAGGAGCACAAAGCGATGCTTTTGGAGCGATATGACCAACAGAGAGAGAGAGATCCAAACAGCTGTACCAAACTGAACATCTCCTCCAGGGCCTTACTCCTGGTTGATGGACTTTCTGACCTCCAGCAGAAAGAACATGACCTGATGCAGGTGGGAGCAACTCAGGGAAGGACAAGAAATCATCTCAGACAACTAGGATTGGCCAAACTACTGGAGCCCCTGACCCGGGTTAGCCTACCACCAAGAGTCTCACTCACAATAGGGGTTTCAGGGATCGGGAAGACCACCTGGGTCCGGCACTTTGTCAAACAGTGGAGCCAGGGAAGCATCTGTTCGGACGTGAGCTTCGTGTTTCCGTTTACCTTCAGTGAACTTAACTCAGCGGAGAAGTTCTCAGTTGAGAAACTACTGAAAATGGCTTTTCCCCATTTAACAGACCCATGTCTGATCTTCAGTGGCTCATGTCGGACCCTTCTTATACTTGATGGTTTGGATGAATTCTACAGCACTTTAAATTTCTCCGATGCAGCGGCCTGCAGTGATCCAAAGAAGGAGTTATCAGTTGACGACTTGCTGACTAACATTATTCGCGGGAACCTGCTCCCTGACGTGGCAGTGTGGCTAACCTCCAGGCCAAGAGTGGCCTCTCTCATCCCTGGAGGACTCATAGACAGGGTGACTGAGATTCCAGGATTCAGCCCTGGTGACGTCCAGATTTTCCTGCAGCACTATTGTGCAGAAAAGGATTTTGCCACCAAAATATGGGCACACTTGGAGGAGCATAAAAATGTCATGGTCATGTGTTACATACCCAGTATTTGCTGGATTGTAGCGGATACTCTAGTATACATTATGCAGGGTGGAGCACAGGATGGTCTGCCAAGAACTTGCTCTGAGCTGTACGCACATTTCTGCGCCATGAAAGCAGAAGTCGGAGAACCCAGAGGCAGGGAGCCCGTCAGATCAGAGCAGCTCCATGGGAACAATCGTAAGCTGCTGTGGAGTCTTGGACGAATGGCATTTTATGGGCTTCTTAAACACAAGTACGCGTTCAGTGAGCTGGACCTCAGGGCCAACGGAATTGATCCCCTGTTGAGCCAAAGCAGTTTTGGTACAGGTGTTCTGGTTCGAGAGAAGTCGGCTGTGCTGATGACATACCGATTTATTCATCTGAGCCTGCAGGAGTTTCTTGCAGCCACTTTTTATCTTGTCTCCTCCAAGCGTGCAATCTTTGACCTATTCTCAGAGAGTGCCATGTCATGGCCCAAAATCGGCTTTCAAAACCACTTCAAAAATGCCTTTCAGCACACGCAGCAGGCTGAAGGTGGGCACTTGGACGTGTTTGCGCGCTTCCTGACAGGTCTGCTGTGTCCAGTGGCTCTGAGGCCTCTTGCTGGGCTTCTGTCTCTGGGTAAAGATGATGGTTCACAGAAAACCTGGGCGGCAGGTTATTTACACAGCCTCCTGGTCAGCGGGGGTGCTGTGGTGTCCCTGCGTACTGTCAACCTGGCATATTGTTTACAGGAGCTGCAGCACACTGAGCTGCTGCGGAGCGTGGAGGAGGATTTAAGGCTTGGCAGCCTGTCAGGGAAGTTATCGCGGGCTCAGTGCGTGGTGCTGGGATATCTCCTGCATGTGTCTCCAGAGTGCAGCGAACAGACCAACCTATCAGGCTCTTTGAACTACTCTACAGTCAAGTGTTTGCTCCCACAGTTGTTCTACTGCAGCCACCTCAGGTGAGCCCCCCGCCACTGTAGGTGTTGATTTTTTTATTAATGTCAAGAATAGTAGAATACTAGAGCGGTGCTTTGTTTCTCCATCTCCTACAGGTTAGAGAACAATCACTTCAAAGATGATGTCATGGAGCTGCTGGGAAGTCTGCTCAGTGCCAAGGACTGCCATATTGTGAAGTTAAGGTGTGAAAATTCTCCTTTTAAAAGCAGACAACATTAACCAGCATTAGCATTAACCACCAAAAAAAAAAAAAAAAACATTGATCTTACTCATACTGTACTCATATAACCTCTCCTCCACCCCCTCAGCTTGGCAGAGAATTCCATTGGCAGTAAAGGAGCGAAAGCACTGAGTCGAGCTCTGTTGGTGAATAGAACTCTGACGTCGCTCAAGTGAGATCTACTTGTCCTTCTTTCACATACTGTGTAATATTTTACCAATAAAAACATAACCTTCTAAGTGAAGGTTTTAAGAAAATTGTAAGGCATTTAGAAACTTTCAGATGCAGACACTTTGTTGAAGACCTCCTATATATATAATTTTTTTAAAATCATTGTTAGTTTTTACTTGTCTGTTTGACTGTAGTCTGCGGAACAACAACATTGGTTCTAAAGGTGCGAGGTTTTTGGCAGAAGCTCTGAAAATGAACCAAGTTCTGGTGTCGGTCAAGTGAGTGCATGTGTTTATACTGCTGCATATCTCCGCGCACGTACAGAGGTACTTAAAAACTGATAGAAACTGCCAGAATGACACTTGAGTCTCCAGCTTTCAGAGCAACAACATTGAGGAGGAGGGCGCCCAAGCCCTCGCAGAAGTGCTGCAGTGCAACCGCAAACTGGTGTCTCTGAAGTGAGTTTTGGCCCAGTTTAACTTTCTGATCTCCAGAGGCTTTGAGGATCATGCAAAAGCGTTTTGTCTCCAATGTTTGTCTATGTTCTTTTTTTTTAGTCTCAGCAAGAACACAGTTGGAGGAGGTGGAGCCAAAAAAGTTGCAGAAGCCCTGAAGATGAACCAAACCCTGACAAAGTTGATGTAATGCAAACACACCACACTTGGTTACACCCACGAAGACTGTGATTACAGATTGTGTAAATAACAGATCAGATTGTGTTTTGACTGTATATGAGAGCAGATAAATGGATGGTGAAAATGTGTTATAAAATTAGAAAATGATCAATTTATTTGTTTATTTCTAAGTTTTTGATATTTAGATGGTGCTCATTTAATTAATTAATAGTATATTTCTGGAAGGCTGCAGCGAATTATTGGTTTTTAGTTATTTTTAATGGGGAAAATGCAATCGAGATAAGAGTGGATCGACACATGAGTGGTGTTGTGGAACGGATTAGGCGTCCACTGTGTACACGCGTACACACACACACACACACATATATATATATATAAAATCATATATCCTTATTTCTCTGAGTTACATTTCTATTATTTTTTTACAGCCTTTCCAGCAACCACCTCGGGGACAAAGGAACGGTTGCACTCGCAGGGGCTTTGACACTCAACCACAGTCTGCTCTCACTTGAGTGCGTATCACAGTGACCCTGTCATCACTTCTCCCTTTCAGTGAATTTCAGTTGAGCAACTTTTGCCTTTGTTTTAATTCAGACTGCAGAGTAACTCCATTAGCAACAGAGGGATGGCAGCCTTAACAAGTGCACTACGGCAGAACCACGGCCTTGTCTCCTTGAAGTGAGTAACAGAGCTGTGATTCTTTTCATTTTTGCATTCACAACACAAAACCAAAAGGTTAGTGGCAGGAGACTAACCCAGCTTACTGAAAAACATGGTTGGAAGGAGTGATGACTCTTGCCAGTAGATCAAAAGCAGTTTTCTTTTTCTAAATTGGAGGTAGATCAATTATTCATTCTTTCCTGAGGAGTAGACTGTCTGATCAACCAGCATGACTTCAGTTTACTGACTTATATACTGACTAAGATAAGAATATTCTTTGTGTGATTTAATTCTTATAACATTCTTATAATGTTGACCATTTGTAAGAATTCTAAAGCCCTGTCTGAATCTTGAAAAAAATCACCAAATTCTTGCCAAAATTACAATCACGACGGGTCACTGAGTGCTGCTTCTGCTTCTAGTGTTGTTAAAATTATTTTGTTCTAACAATTGTATTTATATTTTTTTAGTTTGCGGGAGAACTCAATCGGAGTGGAAGGTGCGAAGAATATGGCTCGCGCCCTCCGAGAGAACAGCTCTCTGCAGGACCTCGAGTGAGTGGTCTCATTATCACCTCCCTGTAAAGGTTGTTTATTGTCACACTAGTCCACAGAGGCCTGGAGATAACTTCTGAGTAAATGTCACACCATCGGTGGACAACTACAACTCCTCTGAAATAACTTTAGCTTACTGTAATTGGTGACACATGTATGTGTGTGTGTGTGTGTGTGTGTGTGTGTGTAACAGCCTCACAGCCAACCTGTTGCACGACGAAGGCGTTCAAGCTATAGCTGAGGCCATTGAGTTCAATCAGAGCCTCGTCTCCTTACAGTAAGTGATTCTGTGGTGTAGCTGCATAATCCAGAACCCCTCGCCCATCCTGTTAGTAAGATGAGGGACCATAAACACTGCAGCAGCTGCTGACACCTACTTAGAACACAGCAGGGATTTAAGGCACATCTAGAATACAATCTCTCAATGTAACATCAAATGAGCTGAAGTGTTGGGGGCGGGCTCTCAATCAGTGTTGCAGCGTTCATATACTGTAGCCACCATGGAAACACGTTCGACCATAACATAATGTTTTTGTTCTTGTCTATGCTTTCATTGTGTGAAGTCCAAAAAATTACAATTTCCTAGCAAAATTTGACAATGTGTAAGGGTCTTAAATAACTTAAAAAAAGAAGAAAGAAAAGGTTAAACAATTTATTTGGTTTAAAACAGATTAGCGACATTAGCATGATTATTATCATTAGGGCACAGAAAAAAAGAACAACTGTTTTAATATATTATTTAAATATCGATATTTTTTTAAAGCTGTTGTCGTATTCGCTGCATGGACCCACATTACAACCCAGAACATGATGTTTCTGCCTGTGAATTTTCTTTCTTTCTTCTCAGTCTCCAGTGGAACTTCATCAAGGCTAACGCCACTAAAGCTCTGGCCCACGCTCTGCTCTCCAACAGCACGCTGCAGCTCCTGGAGTAAGACAAGTCATACCTCATTAGCATGTCCATGTTGGATTTCATCATCTTCCCTTTTCTACTCTTTTCTTAGCATAAATTGCTCCGGTAAAATGGTTTTAGAGTGAGATATGTTTTCAGAATGATGCACATAAATTACCAAGTAGTTTGTTGTAAAGATTCTATCCATCACTTTTGCTGTCACTGGTAATAACACTCAAGGTTTCTTGTCAGTCTACAGGAGAATGCCATTGGAAACGAAGGTGTCATTTTTCTCGCAGAAGCCCTCAAAGTCAACACATCGCTGCAAACAGTATGGTAGGAATTATAACTCTGCAAAAACGTTGGACTATAGCTGAATAAGAACACTTGCAGTGCGTGTGTCCTAGTACAAATGTCACTGCTAATTTCATAGTCGTAATAAGACCAAATGTAGCAAAGTGAACCACCTGGGGACAAAATAAAACCAAAGACAAATTGACCTTTTGTGTTCTATTGGAAAAAATGGGCATTTAGTTCATTTTTGAAGCTACAACTTCAACTCCATCATTGTCACCCTTTAGCAGGCTAAATTTGAACAATTTTTCTATTGCCAAAGTCAGTACTGTATTCTGATTAAACAAAAGCTAAATTAAATTCTCTTTTTTTTAACTTATTTTGTGGCATAGCTTTTTTATCTATGGCTTACGTTAAGTAAATATTTTGGTTAATCTTTGTAAATCTTTTGACTAGTTAAATCTTGTTTTGTTTTTGGCTAGTTTAGATGTTTTTGGGTTTGTCTTACTTTTTTACCTTGTTTTACTGGCATCCAACTTTGTTGTCTTTAGGGTAAATCATAATCTTTTGGTGATTAGCTATTACAGAATTCATCTCAACCACATTTTCAGTTGGATACATTAGAGCAGGTGCAGGGGTCTCGCTGTTTCCATCATTTTTGCAGTTATTTTTGCTCTGTGTTGTGTTTTTTCTTCTTGTCAGTATCCAGGGAGTTTCAGCAGGCACAAGTGGCGCCACTGCCATGGCAAAGGCTCTGATGACCAATCAAACCCTGCAGAACCTGGAGTGAGTACACACCAACACATGATCATGTCTGGCTGAGGTGTTTTAATGATGAGCAGTATTTAGTAAATACTAAAAATGTGTTGAGAGTTGAGGAGCGCTACCTTTTTACCTCTCTACCACTGCACATACAGCTGATTGCAATCAACAGACGAAAATGATGGTGTGAATTGACAACATGCTCAATAATGAGTCATGGATCTTGTTCTTCTTTTACCCCATAGGCACTCGCACATCCCATAGCAACACTTGGACACTGTAGTCCATCACACGGCCACCTATTGAAACACACATATAGACCTTTATTCAATACAGAGTGAGCCATCAGCCTGATGCTGCATATCCTAGTCTTAAAACAGAGAACATCCATGGATTGAATGGATTATGTGAATGTTTCTGTGATTTTTAATTAGCGTCAGAACATTGCTTTTGCTATTGAGTTTTTATATTAAAATGTTTTTTTTTTCTTTTTGCTCGACTCTACAATTTTTGGGAAGTTCTCTGAACCATAATTATGGACAGGTGCTTCATTTAGGCTCTGATTAAAAACACCAGAGAGCTGGTTGAACTGAAGCTAAGACATTTTGACTTCCAATATTCCTAAACCTGCCCAGGTTGGTTAGTAGATATTGACATGAAAGAGCTGAGAGCAGCTCAGAGTAAAGTCATCTTCATTTTTAACAGAGTGAAACAGCACATCACAGCAGTGGCAGGTCTGGTCTTTGATGTCTTTAAAAGGCTCTTTCATTTCAGCCTGATTGTTGTTTTTGTTTTGCTGTGTGAATTATCCAACACACTAACTGCTATTATGTTTTCTATCTGTATTCTCTCAGTGTTCGTGGGAACGCAATAGGGATGGAGGGAGCGAAAGCTCTGGCTAATGCCATGAAGAAAAACAGAAGCCTCAAGTCTCTGAAGTGAGTCCTTACTGGCATCTGTGCTGAGAAACAAAACCACGTTACCATCTCACAGGGACGAAGAATTAACTTTACTAAAAAAATCATTCAGACTAGGATCTGAGGAATCTCATTTTTAACACATGGTCAACGTTTTTGGTGGTCTGACTTGTATAAACATCAACGCTTACTAAACATCACAATTCTGTTGTCTGGCACACATCGAACAACCCAGGGTGAGTGTTTTAGGGATCAGGCTTGTTATCTGAGAATTACTGTGTTAGCAAACCCTGAAAACTCCCCACGCCCTGGGCCTATTACCAAAGTGCAGCTCCTTGTTCCTGTGTATCTATAGTCTTCTAAAGTCTTTCAGTTTTGTATGCAGAGTAATTTTCTTTGGAGGATTTAAAAACGTACTGTTTTTTCTCAGGATTTGAAGTGTCAGTGTGATTATAATGAATATTACTGTGAACTGATGTAGTAATGTTCTTTTGTGTGTCTTTAGTCTGCAGGAGAACAGTCTGGGAATGGATGGAGCCATTTTCATCGCAACAGCATTGAAAGGAAACCACCAGATGACGTACATCAAGTAAGCTTTAAAATAAACCCCTAACACAGCCCTATTCTTGACTGAACACAGAGTTTTCAAAGGACTTGTACTGAATATAATATAAAACACTGCACATGTTTGTAAAGTTTGCAGGGAAATGGGATTGGTGAATCGGGAGCAAAGGTCATATCTGATGCGATTAGAGCCAACGCTCCGAGCTGCGTGGTTGACATCTGAGGGAGGAACTCGCAGCTTTGAGTGGAGAGTTCTCGCACTGTTTTCACTGTGAGACGTTGAACACTCACGGCTGTACAACACAGTCGATGTTGTCTCTAACCATAAGCCTGTACTCATATATACATATTTGATGTAAGGCACCAGCTTATTTTGTTCTATTGTAAGTAATTATCTAATTTAATCTTCTTTGTAACAAAGTGTTATCAGCTAACTGATGTTTTTTTGTAAATAACAGACAGAAAAGCTGTTGTTTTTTCTTCTAGCCTCTATTACCAATTATCAAGTACAAGGTCATAGTTGTTGTCATTTAATTCATTTTTGAATATGCACAACAGCAGTGAAAATGTTGGCTGGACATTAAAAATGTACATGTGGAAATGTCCAACATGAGGTGGTCACTAAAACCAAAGATCATAGAGGTAACTGGATATGACACATTTTAACACACATTTGAAGAGACAGTGACGTGAAACCAAATAATATCGTCATAAATAAAAAGATGTCTACTAACAATTTAACAATTTCTTCTCTGTTCATTTAGGATATAAGTTAAAACTTTAATATTACATAGAATCAAGGTAACTTTGCTAATATAGTTCCAAAATAATAACAATCATTAGCATTACAAAAACACAGGCACTAAATGAGAAGAAAAACAAATTATGAATTATGGCCTCGAATGTGACAGGAAAGGTGCTGTGACTTTTATATTCTGGCCTTGATGCTTGTGTTGGACTGAACATTAATTACATTTCCTCACATTTTGTCCCATCTCCAAAATGCATCACTTCACAGAATGTATTAGTGACAAAGCACCTCGTGGCACTTTTGTGCTGGTTGACCTCTCTGTTCCACATCACAAAGTCTTCAGAATAACAAACATGTTTCATATTTTATTTTACAGATACATTTTTATAACACCTGAAGGATTTAGGGTAAATATTTTATAAACACAGTGCTTTTACTAACCCTCTGCAAACCTGTAGTTTTTTCCCTACTTACTTCAACACATACACACATCATTTATTTATTTTTTTAGCTAGTTTGTTGGCCATTTTTGGATTTTTTGCAACTCTCTATTTATATTTTTTGTTGAATGTTTGAATGGTTTTGTTAAGTATGTTTGCGTAATTACCTCATTTAATAATTTTAATTAAATGTTTATCTTTATTTTAATCATTATATTTATAACAAACATTTAGGTTTTTTCAAGTTCTTTTACATAAATATTTGATCATTTTGATTCTTTTGTCCCAATCTTTAAGCAATTTTTTAATAAACATTTCCATCCTCGCTTTAACACAACGGTATCTTAAAAATGGGTTTGTTATAATTATTATTTTTCATTAACATTTATCATCATTACCTCTGCGTGTCCCAACTGGCAGCACATTACCTTGCCTGACCACAGCCTTGTTAGAACCTGGTTTTGCCCCATTTGGGCACCAGGGGAGCTCACATGTTGGACCATCCATCCATCCATCCATCCATTTTCATCCTCTTATCCGTTACCAGGTCACGGGGGCAGCAGTCTCCACGACCACCACCCAAATCACACTGCACCGTACCAACCCCCCTGAACCTTCCTGCAGGTGGTCAGTCCACTGGAAGGTACCAACCGCCCTAACTGGGATTCAAACTTACCCAGGAGGTGAACCCTGGGGTTCCACACCAATGACAGAGATGTTGCCTCTGGGCCAAAGAGCCACTGTTGGACCAAAACAAACAAACAAAAAAACAACAAAATCAATAACAAAGCCAGCAACAAGCCAAAGAAAAACCATAGGGGTTTACGCACACACAGACACACACAGAGCGAGACTGAGTGAGAAACAGAGAGGGGGGGTTGGGGGGGGGGGCAATGTCCTAAACTGCCAATCAATAAATCAATAGCTGTAGTTGGTTTTGTTTCCCTGTTTTTTTATTATTATTATTTCAACTTGCATGATGCAATAATGTACTATATATAATACACATTTCCAGCTGTCGTGGACTGACTAGCCTGTCATAACTGAAGAGGCGGCATTAATCCTCAATGGAATATATTTCTGTCCTCAGCCATACTGTAATCATATGTGCTGAGCCTGGTATGAATAGAGTATTTCTATGTAGGTGCTCAGTCATCAAGGTCATCTTATCCAGAAATAGAGTATATGGGAATGGATGGAGTACATTTGATTTATTAAGCAAGACACTATGGAGGACAAAAGACATAGTACACTGAGAACAAACGCAGCCTAATGACGACCTTTAGAAAAGAACATGATGTGAAGAAAAGGGATTTAAACACACTTCCATTTCTTTCAACTTTGTCTGCGCAGCATTAGGTGAAGTGGACGCAGGAGAAAAGTGAGTGTGTTCAGATATATGTGACCAGTCCTTTTCATTTAGATTTCCTGCAGAACTAATCGCTGCAATCAGAGACGGCTGAGAGACTGTGGTAATCATACTTATACTTACATTTGCAGCTTTGAGTTTATAATTAACAAGGCTTTAAATATGTCAGTTCCATGCTCGCCTACAATTGTGTGTGTGTATATATATGTATATTTTTTTAAATATTTTATTTTATTAAACCCTAAAAGTTCATGCACTCCACAGCTTCCCCAGGCCGTACAACTGAATGGACGCCAGTCCTTGGTTGAGCACTCATTACTAGATATTTCCTTGTATCACGAGGAAAATCTTCATTAGTTGCAGACTCGTTATATGGGAACACTCGTATTTTGGAAAGCTCGTATCTAGGGGGTCCACTGTAAACGCTTTGTTGGTGTTATCATCACGGCTGCAGGATTTATTCTTTCTGTGTGACAGTCACACCATGTTCAGTGCACCACAGTGACATCTAGTGGCTGGTGGATTTGAATCTGCAACTTTCCAGACACAATTCCTCCTTTACAATTTCCTTGCTTTACCAGGCCAACACTGACCTAGCTCTGGAAATTAAAGAGAAATAAATACCAATAACAAAACAACAAGAAGTAGAATATACACTTCTCAGCATATATGAGAACTATCTACATACTATACTATATACACAGGTATTTACTATGGAAGAATACACTTCAAAATACTGCCACAAATGTCGGCCAGCCATTGATTGCAAGCAAGATGTGTTACTTTGCTCTCGAAAAAGAGTTATTTTTAAAGAAATAAAATAACTTTAAAGAAAAGCCAAACTTAAGATGACACAATTCTAAATAGTAATAATTCAACCACAGGGGATTATAATTATTGACTTAGGAGGTGTCTACCAGGCAGGGTAAAGAGTACAAAAAGCGTAAAAGCCCAATGGGACCACAATGAAAGAAAAATGACACCAAAACCTCAGAAAGAAATTTATATCTTGACATAAAACCAGACAGGAGATCAGCAAAGCTTTCAAGCTCAGGCAGAATACTGCTGCAAAAGTGACACAACATTTTAAGAAAAATGGAAGAGCAACCATCTCTCAGAGACGCCCTGGAAGTTAACATCTGGACAGGAGTGTCTTCTGATGAAAAAGGTTAACTGCAGTTAGCTAAAGAGGTAGCAAGCCCAACTGGAATGACCTGGTGGTGGCAGTGTCTTGTGTGGGGCTGCGTGAGTGATGCAGGTGTGGAGGAGCTGCCTATCATTGATGCTACCATGAACTCACAGATGTACTGCTTCATATTGAAGGAGAGCATTTCTAAAGAATAAAGTGGAGGGGATTGAATGGCCAAGTGTGTCTCCTGATCTGAACCCAACTGAACACCTGTGGTGGGGGATTCTGAAGAGACAAGTTGAACATCATTCTCCAACTGATGATAGATGTTACAATATGTTCATTCCATGTCCAGAAGAGGTGCTGTCCTCAGAAATCACAGTGGTCACACAAAATACTAGCAGTACTAGTTTTTGGTGTATTCGTTGTTTTCAAAACTGAAGATTTTGTGAACCAAGTTAGATTATTATACTTACTTTCGTGTCATGGAGTTAAATAAATGTTCACTGAAACTTAGCCTTCTGGAAATTTTGGAAATGATTCTTGTGTTCATTGAGATATTGATTAAAATGGGACTTTTCGAAGGGGTGTACTCATTTGTGCTCAGCACTGTAGGTAGGCCAGAAATGGGTTGAGGTTAGCCAAAAGATAATTACAAATTTTGGTCAAAGTTCCCTGGAGAGGTGGAAAAAACCTATTTCACAGAACTATAAAAGACCTTTTGAGAAAAATATAATTTCCTGCTGTGGTTGGAGGCAGTGAAAAATGAATTGTTAAAAGGGGTGGACGCAGCAATCCATATCAAATTTAAAAGGTTTTCCATCAAATCTAAATTGCACGTCTGTTTCACCATAATTGAACTAAAATGATCAGAAATCATGTTGTCAGGCATCAGCAAACGACTTCATGAGATCTGAGAAATGACAACTTATTCTCTTAAGCACCCCAAAAAAAGATATTATTAGATTAATAATAATAATAGAATTAATAATAGAATTAATACAAATAATAATAATAATAGAATTACTAAATGTGTATTAAATCACCTGGAACCTTTAAAATCCTTTCACCACAAATACTTGCTTCTTTTCCCTTATTCAAAAGCCAAAGAATATACACCAGTTGTACAGTTACACCATCCGACCTACAGTATCTGGGAACTTCAGCAGCCGGAGGCTCACACTGAGGAGCCACATATTTATTTCATGAAGAAATGGCTAAAAATAAACAAGGTAATTTGATTATTACACTAGACTGTTGAGTACACTGGACCTAATAACACTGGGGAGCGGAGTGGTGGTTGTGTTCTTTCTGAATGCACATCATTTGTGATTATGGCTAATCTCCTCACAAAGGAGAAATGTTCATTTAGCCTTGTTTGGATATATATTTAAGTCGTTGGGTTTAAGGTTGGCTCTGTTTTTAAAAAAGTGGACAGTCGTGCTGCAACTGCAGCAGTGGTCCTCAGCAGGCGGCCTTTATTGTGATGTTGTTTGTCTATTATTATTATATTAGCTCACTAGGGTCGGTTGATGCATGGTAGTAGCCTGTGCATGTATTATAGTAGTATATGTATTCAACAGACAGTGTTGATATTGGCATTGGTGTCAGATGATAAAGTAAGTTGTATGTAAATGGCAATGAGCAATCTGTGCTAATATAAAACACAGTTGTATACTATATACAGTATGTAGGTGGTTATATCTGCTGTACCTCTGAGGACCCCTGAGCAAGAGGGCTGTGGGTTTGATTCCAGATGAAAAACAATGACTGTTTTTGTTTTGTTTTGTGTTTTTCGTACATCTGAACAAATTACGTGAAATGCCCCTAAAAACACATGCTACACATCTTTTAGGCATGATTAATTTTGAAATTATGCTAGGTTATCTTTTAGGCATGATTAATTTTGAAATCTTTTATTGTTTTTTGAATAACCTTGTGTCAGTAACAGGATTCATTTTCATATTTGCTATTTTATTTTTAGCCATTTTTCACCCTGTCTGGGAAGATTTCTTTTCTAACGCTTGACTAAAATGATTCATACATTTCGGTGCTGAGACATTTGGGTTCATGTAAATCGACCTTCATTCCTTGTCTTATACTTTTGCAATGTGTACTGTATTAAGTAGCACTAAAACTTTTTATGAGGTAAACATCTGAAAAGTCAATTTTTCCACACTATTTCTCAGCTAGTTGGCTTTTCAAAAGGATATTTCAGGTAAAAATATACAGCTTGACCCTTTCTTTATGACTGAGTGGGTTCTAGACAGGAGTTGTCGAATGTTTTCATTAAATGCAGATCACAGCGGAATCAAAAAGCTGATGCTGATCCCTTTTCTTTTATGAATAAAAATATGTCAAAGCAAAATACTATGTCCAACCATCTTCATCTGCTCATCTGTTATCGGGGCAGCAGTCTCCACGACCGCCACCCATATCACACTGCACCGTCCCAACCCCCCTGAACCTTCCTGCAGGTGGTCAGTCCACTGGAAGGTACCAACCGCCCTAACTGGGATTCAAACTTACCCAGGAGGTGAACCCTGGGGTTCCACACCAATGACAGAGATGTTGCCTCTGGGCCAAAGAGCCACAAAATGCTATGTCTCCAGGATATCAAATACATCCATGAGTAAATCCATCTTTACATTATATATGACCAATGCAAGAATTTAGATTGTCACCAGGGGAAGTCTGATGTGAGTGATGAATAATAAAATGCTGTGTGAATTCTATTATCTTCACAAAAAGTGTCCCAATAAAAACTACTGTGAGAACCCAAAGAACACTGTCCTCACTGTGAAAACATAACAGGGATTATTTTTCTGGAAATGTTTGACTTGACTTGGCTGCAAAATAATTAGTTTCTGTAAGAAAAAGAAAACCTTTTTTCTCAGAAGCACATATTGTGTGACATATTAGCTCCTGATAACTGAGCTAACTCTTCCCTTTCTGCTGCGTTTCTTCTACAGTAGATCACTAGGGCTGAATCTAAACTGAATTTTTAACCCGTCCAATATTTGAAGGACACAGTGTGTGTCTTTTTAAATTCTGGGCAGATTAAATACATGATGATGGTAATCGATGCCTGTTATTTTGGAGTAAATGGACGCTTAGAAATTGGTTGAAATGTGGAGCAGAGTAGATTTTATTGACATTTCTGGAGCAAAACAAAGTAATGAAGTGTGTGTGTGTGTGTGTGTGTGTGTGTGTGTGCTTGCATGTGAGGAACAACTTTGTGAAGAAACATTTTCTCAACCTCACGTTCTGTGAAAGGCGAGGACCTAATTAAAGTGTTGAGTTAGAGTAGGAGCAAACAGGTATATATTTTTATTGTGACTTGACGAGTCCTCACAAACCTAGAGGGACAAGCACGTGTGTGTTGTGCAGACAAGGATGTGGAGACGAGCTTTGTTCAGTGTTTGAGGACAATTTGTGGGTCCTTGAAAACATTTTGTAGGTGAAAGAATTTATATTAATGTGGGCTTAGGGTAAGGTGAAAGGCATATAGTAGACATGTAGTTCTGATATTTGTGTCAATAAATCAATAAAGGTTGAAGACAGGAATTTTAACCTGTCTTCTGGTAGTCCTCAAAAAAATCTGTAAGGACAAGTATGTTGTCTGTGTGCATGTGCGTCTGTGTGGTCGCACACTGAGCGTTCAGTCAGTGACAGCACGTCGCTCTGAGTGCAGCAGGAGCAGCAGCAGCAGCAGCAGCAGGAGCAGCAGCAGCAGCAGCAGCAGGAGCAGCAGCAGCAGCAGGAGCAGCAGCAGCAGCAGGAGCAGCAGCAGCAGCAGGAGCAGCAGCAGCAGCAGGAGCAGCAGCAGCAGCAGGAGCAGCAGCAGCAGCAGCAGGAGCAGCAGCAGCAGCAGCATCATCTGTCTCCTCTCTTCAGGATCTAGTTCTACTCCATCTGTAAGTCACACTTTTTCTCCTCATTTTATAAGTCTGAGCTGTTTTTTGGGAAAAACAACCCTGCTTTTATGTGTCCTCAGTATTATAGAACACTGATTCTGTAATTTAAAAATGCAAACTTCTGTTCTGATGTGATTTCACCTCGACTCTTGTTCATGACATGTAGGGTCTTTTTGTAGAGGAATGAATGAAATAGTCATTTGAACTGCACTGGTCGGGATTGTCGTTGAACATCATCAAACATCAGGGAAAAACAAAGTACAGACACCTGATGAATGGCAGTGCTGAGAGCGTGTAATGCTGCAGCTTTTCTGTGTGCAGTGCAGAGGTGAATATTCCGTGTAAAAGCCTCATGATTCTGCCGTTAACACGATCACACGGCAGCCGATGTTCAGCTGTGCAGCTGCTGGTGTTTCATTTGCATCCTGTGTTTTTTATCCCATACTTTTCTCATTAGGATTCAGTGTGAACTGGTAACAATGAAACTATGAGCAGAATAGAATAGAACAGAATTAACACTAAACACATCTCCCTGCTATATTCTTGTACAAACGTGTGTTTCAGTTTAATATTTCAACAGAATAGAATAGAATAGAATTTGTTCGTTCTGTCTGTTCCCTGCTGTTCGCAGTGCGGGGGTAATCAGTGTGATCACACTCACCTGTGTCTCTATGATTAGTCTCATTAGGTGACACCATCACCCAGTGTCCTGTGTAGATGTACCTCTCTCCCTGACTCTGTCTTTGTGGAATCATTGTTCTTTCTTTTCCGCTGTCTTCGTGCTTTGTGTTTGGTGTTCCTACCCTGAGATCCATGCTCTTTGTTCTTTGTATTGAGTTCTGCAACCTAGTGAGTGGTGCAACTTTTGATTTTTGTGAATAAAATACCTACACCTAAGAAGACTCCCCTGTTATTTTCAAACCTGCATTTGACTCCTGTCTGCTTCCTGCCATGTCGACACAACAGAATTCACAAAGTGCAATATCAAATGTTAATGTTCCTGGCGGCTACGTCTAATGATTGGTCGTATTAAGGGGCCTTATTTAGCCCAGCCCTGCACAACTGCCTGAGGAGCCTGACGAGCCACAGTCGAAGGCTTGCTGTGAGTCATAGCTAGTTGAGATTCAAAGTTTGTAATGGATGCAAAGTCTCATTAGCTGTTGTATAGGTAGAGCACCGTGATGGAGCAACTCCTGCAGTTCCCTGATTACAACCCACTTTAAACACCACATGTGTTAAAGGTGCACAGCTGAAGGTCGCACTGCCGGTGGAGGGTAGCTTCGCGGTGCAGCATCAATGTTTACGTGACAAAAGGAGAGGTGTTGTTTCAAGCCTGCAGCAACATTGTAGGCATTGTTAGCAGTTATCGTGTGTCAAAAAGTTCCCAATGATCTGCTCGATGTGGAAAATATAGGTTAGAATCTAAACAATGCCTCGGAACATGAGAGAGAGAGAGAGAGAGAGAGAGAGAGTGGATTTTCCTCATCTTTACTCCTCTTTTTTTCCGCCTGTCAAGAACTTGATGCAGTAATGGAGAAGACCCAGCATATCTTAGCACTGAGCTGCCTGCTGCTCTTAGAGATGTCAAAGGTACGTGACCATTGGTCAAATACAGCATCTGTTCTGTTGTGGCGTAGCACTGTGTAGAACTGCAAACTCTCTGAATGACATTTCATGATTCTGTGTGTGTACCTGTAGTTTGAAATGGCTGGTGGAAAGGTTTTAGAGGAAACCTATCGGAAGTGGGTCCAGTACAAAGAAGAGTGTGTCAAAATGATGGAAAATGAACCTTTACCTCAAGGTACGTCAGTATTGTGGTGAGTCACAGTGAAAGACATTGATGAGAACAAGGAAATTAGAAAACAGAAAGGTCACGCTGTGACACTGATGACATCTAAATGTTCTAAACTCCTCTGGCAGGTTTGTTCTGTAACAGGACGTTTGACAAGTACGCCTGCTGGCCAGATACTCCTGCTGGGACTCTGATCAACATTTCCTGTCCTTTCTACTTGCCTTGGTTTGACAAAGGTAAATTATACTCACATTGATTGTGACTGACAGACGGAACCTGCAGGTTCAAATCAGAATACAATCTTTGACATTTATATTAAAAAAAAAAACTAGAGCAACTATTGTAAGGGACCAAAATGAATCAAGTGTCTTTTCCTGTCTCCTTCAGTCACTCCAGACAGTGGGTTTGATCACCTGATCATTTGAAACAGTCCCTGCTCCTGTGGACAAAAACTCTAACCGCTAATAGTGCTGTATTTATCCAAAACTGTCCATTTGTAAATCGAATGTCTGAAAACTGTTATCCAGATGGATGGTAGTACTTGACTTATTGACTTTACTCAAGGTCATTTAGGCAGCATTCTTCTTCTTTCAGCTGCTCCCCTCAGCTGACCTCCGGCCTCATCCACTGTTAGACCAACCATCTTCTCTAATCTTCCCTAAAGTCTTCCTCTTCTCCTCTGTTCTGGCACCATCCATTTTGTTCACCATCTCTCCTCATCACAGGTCTGAACCATCTCCACCTCAGCCCTCTAACTCTGGCTCCACCTTAACTCTCCATCTGATCTGCTCATTTCTGATCCTGACTGTAATGATCCTGAATTAGCCTGACTTCACACCCTTAATCTTCAATCTCTAGTTCAATGCTCAGTAATCTGCTGAAAAGTGGAAAAGGACTCACTTGTACCCACTGTCTCCTCGCCAGTGTCCCAGGGGGTGGTCACTCGCCGTTGCAACTCTGGGGGCTTCTGGGAGAAAGATGACAACGGGCAGGTGTGGAGAGATATGAGTCAGTGTGAGGAGGAGAAGGAGGTGGCATCTCAGGAGGTGAACGCATTCAGCACACCAAGAAAATGTCAAACTTTATGTATGGATGTAGAAAACTGTCACACATATCAAGTAGTTTGTGAATTTTTGGTATCAAGTTTGGTAATTAAAGTTTATCAACTTTGGCAATTAAATTCCAGAGTAAAACTTTGATAGTTGTATAGCTGAGGCATCTTAAAGCTGTAGGAGTTCAGAACATCCAAATCAGAATTTTTCTCACATGAGTGAAAATAATTTTGCTTGTATTTTTTAGTCAGTTTTATGACTTGTTTTATGACAGTTGGCCCTTTCTGATATTTCTGCATTGCATTCTTACTATAAATCACATTAGATTAAAATAACTGAATGTTTGTACGATGTGATGGAAATGTGTTATAAGTAATTGTTATTGTATTGCCTAGTGTGGCAATGTCTGTGTCAAACTAAAGCAGAATCATGTCTTTAAATGTCTAAAATATGAATATTTTCAGAGACAATATTATAAAATAGCTTATAAAAAAACCATCCTTTCTTCCTGTGTGATCTGTTTTCCAGGCCTTGGTCCTGCATTGTTAGTCATACCCCATAATTTACATGATTGTGTGCAGTGCCCTGAATCTTATTATTTAGGACTTGTTACCGATGGTGACATTCATCCAACTCAGTAATCATTAGTAAATTATCAGTAAATCATTTTTAAGCCACTGTGCACTCGTGTATTTCCAGCTGAGGATTAAACAACTCATGGTGAGCTTCAGGATGCTCTACACTGTGGGCTACTCCGTGTCTCTCTTCACACTCGTCACGGCTCTCATCATTCTTCTGAGCTTCAGGTAAATATTTCTTTGCCATCTCAGGACTCTGGGCCAATTTTTAGGCTCTGTGAAAAACACAGCAAGAAACACTTTTAATGAACAGGGAAAATATTTGGGAAATAATTAACAGCTCTCAGCTCTGCAGCGTCATGAGACTTAGTTGTAATGAACCATAAAATGGAAATGTTGCAAATAGATGTCGAAGTACAAAGGTTTTAACAACTATTGTTTTTTTCCTTGTCAGAAAACTGCACTGCTTCAGGAATTACATCCATGCCAATCTTTTCCTGTCGTTCATCTTGAGAGCTGTGTCTGTCATTGTTAAGGACACCATGTTAGAACGACACTGGGGTCGGGAAATCATGAAACAGGCCGATGTCAGCGAGATGCTTAGTCATCAGGTGGGTGTAATTAAAAATAATAATAATAATAAATAATTCAAAATATTTGTTTTATTTTGGCTATTAATCTTAGATTTTCTGTAAGCTTTTGCAGACATTTTTTTTCTCTTTTGTCATATTTTGCCTTTTGTTTAATAACCTAACCACGTTGAAGGTGTTTGTGTGTTCTTTTTAATGTCCATTTCCTTTAGGCTGCGATTGGCTGCCGGATAGCACAAGTGATGATGCAGTACTGTGTTGTGGCCAATCACTATTGGTTCTTTGGAGAGGCAATTTATTTGTACTCTGTGCTCATCGCCTCAGTGTTCATTGACAACAACAAATATTTCCCCTATTTATGTCTCGGCTGGGGTGAGTTTGTGGTTATACCATACATATTTGCAATTCTCAGAAAACCTTTGATTTTCCTAGTAACAATTCAATGTCTATTTTTATCCAAATTGTTCTGAAGGATGTGAATAAGACCATGTCCCGTATTCATTAATTAGACCCTTCTCTGTCAGTCATTCCTGTCTGTCATTCCCTTCACCTTATCAGCTGTTCCAGCTTTTCTGATTTTCTCCCATTGAGCACGTACCAACAACATACTGTGTGAATGTCTTGCAAACGTAGGCAGGCAGTTATCATATTTTTCGAGCTTCTAAAGGGAGGTACACATATCAGTTCCCTTTAAAAAAAAAAATCTGTTTGCTTGTGTGTTAGGAATTCCACTTCTATTTGTGATCCCGTGGGTGGTGATGAAGCTATTGAAAGAAAACAAAGAGTAAGTGTGTGTGTGTAGCTTCTGCTTCATCCCCATGATCTCTGCACCTGCTGATCTTATATAAGGAGCAACATCTGCCTCTCTCTGCAGGTGCTGGGCTGTCAATGAGAACATGAGCTACTGGTGGATCATCCGTTTCCCGATTCTTTTTGCCTCACTAGTAGGATTGATTCATACAAACAAGCTTCTCATTTAAATATCAACATATGTGCCTTGTTATTTAGCTCATGTTTTTTTTATAGGCTTAGTTGTTTTCCAGAGAGAAATGCAAACTTGAGGAACAATCACCATTGTTAGGATGGAAACCAGCTTCTGTGTGACATTTACCTTGCTGTATCATCTCTATATCTTCCTTCTGAACTGGATAGCAAATAAAAAAAGACAAAACGACAAAATACTCCTTTTAAAACAAAGAGAGAGGAGGACAGCATTATTCTTTAATGAAATGTTCTTTTATTTTTCATCAAAGAACAAAAAACATTTTTGTTCATAGCGGTTCAAAGGTAAAGGGTTAATTTAGGAACATCTTGTGAACCTAGATTATGTTGAGAAATGTCATAATATGTTGGGAAATGACAAAACAAATTGGAGTTTTTATGATCAACAGATCAACTTCCTGATTTTCATGAAGATCCTGAAGGTCATTCTTTCCAAATTACGAGCCAGCCAGCAGACTGGGTACCCAGATTACAAACTGCGGTAAATTGTCTCTCACTTTTCAGGGATTATCACGTAACTCTTATTTGCTGATGATGCTGAAAACAAACTACAAAACCTTTGCTCTAAACATATTTCCTATGTTTTTCTATATATCTTTTTTTGACAAGGCTTGCCAAGGCGACGCTTACCCTGATTCCTCTGTTTGGCATACATGAGATCATATTCATCTTTGCAACCGATGAACAGATGACAGGATTCCTGCGCTACGCTAAAGTTTTTATCACTCTTTTTCTTAATTCCTTTCAGGTGAGTGTGGTTCAGGACAGACAGAGAGCCCTTGTTTGCTGTTTTGCATTTATAAATGCATTTGACTCCAGCTTTATTGGATTTTCTATTATATTTTCAGGGTTTTATGGTGGCTGTACTCTACTGCTACGCCAATAAAGAGGTCTGTTATGTTAAATATATATCCTGATATTCATTCTTATTGTTTTACTTGAATATTTTACTTGGATGAAGAGGCTTATTAGAATACCACTAAATTACTGTGAGTGATGAGGTTTGATGAGGCTCCTATGGGGTTTAAATTAAACTCTAATCACATAAAAAATGTAATAATATTTTATTGGCAATTATCTGCATTAATTTTAGGGATATTAAAATTGAAGTATTTTTAGACTGGCTAATCTAGAAGTCCGGAATGAATTCATTTTCAGTTTTAATTTAAATTGTGCATCACCCCTGAAATAGCTTATCTCATCAATATGTGCAGGTAAGGACAGAGGTGAGGAGGAAATTACACAGCTGGAGGGTAGAGGCAGAGATCTTGTGCTGTGGACAGTGACTAGCCGTGCTGGACTCTCGTGTGGACACTTTATCCATCGCCACAGTGCCAGAGCGCAACAGATCATCTGCCACACTGAGGGCAGTGCCAGATGGTTCACCATCCCCAGAGAGTGTCCTGGTTTTCAGGCCACCCATTCAGCCAGCATCTCTTCAGTCTGAGCAATCGTTGTTGCTCTATCCACCTGAATTGAACAGAGAACACATCCTGCTGTGTGGTGATCAGGCCGACATCGGATTGTCTTCTGCGATGCAGGTGTCATTTGTTATCCATCTTCAAGACCCTGTTGAGTCACTGCCAAATGTTGTAAATACGGATTCAGACTAAATACACTGTAACATTTCCTGTGTATTCTATTTTAGCAATATATTATCTAAAACTGTGAACATGTAAAAAAAAGGGATGTACATCATTGTGTTTTTTCATTAAGCTTTCACAGCTTAATGAAAAAACACAATGATGTACCGTATTGTGTATACGTGAAATATTGTGACCCGTGATTTGTATGTTACTTAAATAAATATTTAATTTTTTCTAAATAATCACTCAGTCTAAGAACATAAGAACAGCATAGTTGAGTGAAAATGTTTACTGCTGTAAACATCATTTATTAATTTATATTAACACATATATACAAAACTATATAGACAAAGTAAAAGATCCCTTACGGGTTTTTTGTTTGTTTGTTTGTTTTGGGTTTTTTTTTTGTTTTTTTTTTGTTTTTTTTTACACGTTTCCTATTCAGCAGCACTATCGTGTTTGTTTCTTTTATAGGATATTTCTTTGGATTGCGTTCTCTACTAAATTCACTTCATTACCCATAACGCCAACAAAAAAACGTAATGACGTCATGCGTCGTGCTGCCGTTAGCAACGGCGGAGACTGGAGCGGGAAGAATATAACTGCAACTGCTGTTTGCGCCGACAAAAGTTCTTGATGTGACAATCAGGTTGGAATGTACCATCGAGAATCGGCAATGATGTAGATCCAACATTCGTGTTAACCTGGGGCTGGGATTTATAAAACAACAACAACAAAAGCCATCAGCACTGCGGAAGTTTCGGTGTTTGCTAACAGAGTCCTGTGTTCATATAAACCTGCGTCTGTCAAAACAACTGGTGCTACAGCAGCCTATGTGATTTTCACTGCCAATGGCTTCTAAAGGTAAAGTTTCAGTTCACAGTCTTTAATTGGTTCAAGTGTGTCTTGCTGTAGCATGTATTTTTATTGTGTGTGTACTCTAGCTCTCTCTCACCTGAATACTGTTTATTTCCACAGAGTGGCAACATCCTTATGTCAATATATTTAAACACGTTAAGGTCGATGAATGGAAAAAGTCTGGAAAACAGGGGGACGTGTCAACATACATGGTAATACAGCCTGTCTACATAGATTGTTGTGAATGAACGACTTTCTTAAAGTAGATCTAAATACAGAATAAATAGAAATAAAACTTTGTGCACAAAAGGAGAAAACAGGGGAATGCTACAGTGTCCAAGTCAATGTTTCATATATTGACTTAGTGGAGAAGCTCACTGACTGGGGTTTTTTTATTCTCTATTTAACTAGATCTGTCCGTGTCCACTTTGTTTGAATTATACAGGACAAGACGCTCAAATGTTCCGTGTTCAGAATCAGAGGTTCTGTTCCTGCTAACAGCTTCATCTTGGTCCCTAAGAACAGCAACCACTCTCTGGGCCTGACTGGGCGCTACTTCTATCTTCTTTTTAGACCCATTCCTGGAAGGTTCTTTGTGGTCCACCTTGATGTTGTTGCAGAGGTAAAACTTTCTGCTAACCCCTCTGTCACAGGGTTGAGAGAAATCAGTAATATTTAAAAGTTTTTGTCAGGAGATTTTTATTATTATTCACTCCATGGTTCATTTCAATGCTGTCTAAAAGAATGCCCTATGTGCACAGTGGGGAGAGAATATCAATTGAATTCATTTCAATGCTGTCTAAAAGAACGCCCTATGACCTGCACAGTGGGGAGAGAATATCAATTGAAGTTAACAAAAGTTATCCATCCTCCCTTATGCTTCCATGTGAAGGAGAGACGAGTGGTGCGCATTTCCTTTTCAAATATGTTTAAAGAGTTCAAGTCAACATCTACCTGGCTTCAGTTTCCCTTTCCGAGCGGAGCTGTCAAAGATCCAGTCCACGGGAGCACATGCAAATTAGCAAGGCCAGGTAAGAAAACCCACCCGGATTCACTTCACTGGTGCTAAGATCGTGCTGTTTAAAATGTATAAAATGAGCAGCGAGAATGAACTTCTGTGCTGCAGGATTGATGGAGTCAGCCCCCACATCAGTGCGCTGGACCTGCCTGACATTAGACCTCCAGCACATTCTCTCTGTTTATTCCAGTCGTTCCTTCAGCCACCTGAAGGCCATTAAGCTCTGTGCCAACATGGCAGTTAAAAACATGTTTACCAGCGACCTGCTGCTCAATCCAGGTGAAACCAAGTGTTGCAGAATTTCCTCCAAAAAAATAGTTTGACACTTTTACTTCCCTCATCTCATTGTCCCTTGTTCTATTTTAACCAGAACTTTCATTCAGTGAAGCCAAACAGAGAGGGCTGGCTTCCTCACAGGGAACAGGTCCAATGCCAAGAGAAATGTCATTTCCTGTGCCCAAGGGGAGCGCCTGGCACAAACTCTATGACCATGTCATGTATGCTAAATTACCACTTAAGTCCTAAATATGACAGAAAAATAAGTAACAGTCTTAAAGTTTCAGTATTTTTTCCATCATTTTATGCATTTATGTCTTTTCCAACAGATTTTCCTCGGATGAAACTAAATCACATTTCAGTTCCACTGAGAGAAGTAGCGTATGCAGTAAGTCATCAAATATCACATTGTTTGCTGTTGTAATTAGTTTTAGTTTTTTGAGATTTTCAATGCATGTTTTTAATTCCCATTCAACTTTATTTTTACTATTCCATTGTCTCCAGAACTCAACTCTTATTGGTCTCATTTCCTCCCACTGTGGCTTTTCAAATGAATTTTATACCCTGTTCACACAAATAAATAAAAGGGAGTGGAGCTTGTCAAACCTGCAGAACAAAAATGTTCATTAACATCAACATCAACATTGTTTTAAAATGCTGTCAATCTAACTTGGTAAAAATGTGCTGTAGAGTTAGAGTTTAACACAGTCTTTCCACACTTAGGTTCAAGGAGAAGCCAAAGGAGCTCCACTGTCAGAGGGTCTCCTGACCAGGTCACCCTCAGTCAATCAATTCAGGTATTTAGTGTAGAATCGTTGTCACACTAAAAGATTAACTATTTATGAAATAAATTGTTGCGTCAGTTTCGACCAAGTGCCTAAAACATTGGCTGAAATGCAGCCCAAAACCATGACAGATCATCCCTCTTAAGAAAATCACATATTCAATTTTGTTTTTGTAGAATAATATGTAAGAATATCAACCAAGAACACCAGCCCACAGTGCACTGAAATATATTGTTACAAATATGCTTGATATAATCCATTAGAAAAATATTTTCCCTTGGCACCTCAGCTTCCAAGAACTGAAACTCCATCCGTGAACAACCTTCCTGAAGTGGGCGTCGTCTCCACTCACCAAAGTGAGGACTGCCTGGACAATGATTGTCAGGAGCAGATGTCGTCATCCATCAGTTCCCATCAGCCCACATCCGGACCCATTCATTTTTCTGAAGACAGTGGGGTTCACGTGTTTGTGCATACGAAGGACAACTGTAGCAAAGACGGGGAGAACAGCGAAGAAGAGGTGAATTGTTGACTGCCAAACCAGCACATGATGTGGCTTTTGTATAGATTTGTGATAATAATGACTTTCTACTCAGTTTGTCTGTAGTTCATCGCTGCAGTTGTCAGAGTCTAAAGAAACCAAACAACAGGTAAAAGAAAAGATTACTGCAAAAATACAGGAATTTGTTACAAAGATTCAGTGACTAAATCTGTATCTACTTTTACAGAAGCTCCTCCCAGACCCCATTCTCAAACTTAATCGCATCATCGGCTTTGGAGGAGCCACAACCAAACATGTAAATGCACTCAGAGTTCATTTATTTTAAATTGATAATTAATAAATGCTAATGTTTAAACAATATATTTTATTACTCCAAAGGCTCTGTGGACCAAATCGGGTGACGCGGTGGTGTATCCCTGTCACGCAATTGTTGTTTCTATGAAAATATCCACCAAGGAACAAAGGTTTTTCATCGGTCACACTGATAAGGTAAATGACCTGTGATTTCTGGAGTGAGACACACTCACAATTGAGTGACAATTTATTTATTCTCTAAAGAAGACACTTCAGTGCTCTGGTACCACAAAAAGAATGTCTAGTGTGGTGTAGGTCTCCAAGCAAGCTACAAGTTTGAGTAATATGAAAATACCTGCCCTTTTCCAAATCACACTATAAATGTGCATATTTTGTACTCAACCATTTTTGTCAACCTAAAAGCTTTGGACATATTTTTGAAGAACACACTGAAATAAAATAATATTATAATAAATAATAATAAAAAATCCAAGTGTCGGTCTATAAATATATAAAGGTTGACCTGAAAATATACCGGAAGTCAGAAGTGTAGCCACAACACACAGTGTCAGGCAGAAGCATACAACTGACCAGGTCAGGAATCTAACCCACAACCCAATGTCTGTAAAACAATCCGTTTGTCAATAATGAATTAGTACAAATATAAGTAAGATATATAATAGTCATTTTAATAAGGATATTATAAATAATATTGTATTTACTTTGTTCTCTTCTTTAGGTTTCTGCGATAGCTTTGAATGGAAACACAACACTTCTGGCCTCAGCACAGACTGGTCAACACAGTGTTGTTCGCGTCTGGAACTACCAGAAGGGAAACTGTCTGGCCATGTTTAGGATTCACGCTAATTCACTCTCCTCTTTAAGGTAAACAACAGCATTCACGCTGTCCTTCCTGTGACCTACTTGTGTACATTTTGACCACAGGAACGGTTGTTTCCTCACTCATGTTATTTCTTTCCCTTTCTGTTTTGAAGCTTGTCACACAGCGGCAGTGTCTTGTGTGGAGTCGGTAAAGACAAACAGAACAAAACGGTGAGTTGTCATGATGAAAATCAGCCACGTTGCTCAATCCATCAGAAGAGACAGACATGATAGGAACACAATGAGAAAATAAATGAAGTGCCAGAGTCATTAGCAGCTTTTGATTTGACTACATCGTGGTTTGATTGTTGATAATGTGTCAAACTGTTTTAATGTTTCCCAGATGGTGGTGGTGTGGAACACTCAAAATGTTACCAAGGGTGGAGAGGTGACCACGGTGGCCAAGGCTCACACTGAGGTGGACATTCACACCATGAAGATTGCCTTCTTTGATGACACCAGGTGAACTCGCAGTACTAACTGGCTCAACTCTTAGAATCTGTAATAGACAAGATTCGTATGTAGGAAATGTAGAGGAAATTCTTATTTTACATCTAAAACATAATGCATCTGATGAGTGAATTGGTGATTTCTGTTAACAGAACAGTCAGATATTTTATCAGACTGTACAACACCTGACAACCCACTGTTGCTTTTTTCATGAAAGTAAGGACTGTAATGTCACATTTGCATGATTTGATTTCATGCACAGGCCTACGGCAGTTTACAGTGACAGCCTGGCAGGGATGAGGCTCTGTTCTGCAGACTCCCCATCGTGCTCAGAGATCCCTCTAGGTGCAGAGCAGTCCTGTCTCTGGCATACAGAAGACGGTTGCTAATCTCTGTTAGAACCTCTGTCTTCCAGGCACGACCAAAAACTCCAGCTTAAAAAATCTACAAAATAAAAAACCTACAGCTTCAGTATTTTTCATTGATTTAGATGTTGTATTGCCACTCTGTGATCTGTGAATAGATTTTCATCCTTATTTGACATTTGTGTTCCACTTTCAGTTGCAGAGGCCAATTAGCCAGAAAGAGAGACCGAAATGCAAAACAACAAGCCTGCTTAATGATTGGTCATTAAGTGTAATGACTTATTGTTAATTTTTAAAATGAATGATCTTTCTTTCTAATTATCCAAGTGTGGTGTTTTCAGGATGGTCTCTTGCGGTCGTGACAATATCCGTCTGTGGAGGGTGAGAAACGGAACGCTGCGTTCCTGCCCAGTGAACTTGGGTGAGTATCACTCCCTGGACTTCACTGACGTGGCCTTTGAGGAAGGAAACACTTCTGCTGCACATCCTGAAGATCAAACACTGTGAGTCAGAGATGCCAAACTATCAGAACTGTTCAGACTGGCTCCACTCTGACATGTGTACACAGAGATTAGCCTTTCTGACTTTTCCCACAGATTTGCCAGCAGCCGCAGCGGTCACATTTTTGAGATCGACTACAGCAGAGTGGTTGTCAGAAATGTGAGGAGGCTGTTGCCTGCACAGCAGCAGCATTTGGACCGCAGGGAGAAATGGACTTTTAGTACAGGTGGGTTCAGAAGGTGATGAAGATGCTACTCTTAAATTGTAGCAAGCTAATCTACAAACTGCTTTGCAATACACTTTGTGAAAAATACCAGAGGTTGCTGATGTCCACCACCTGATGTACACACGCAGACATAAATACGTCTCCTCTCCTCAATGTGTTGTCTCTTTGACCCCTCTCCAAACAGCATATGCTCTCTCCCCAACTCATCATTTACAGTTTGAACACAGGTTCAATAAAGACAAGAAAAGAATGTGTTTATGTGTCACAGGTCCAGGCATTGCCATCAACAGCATCAGTGTCTCATCATCATTCTGTGCTACGGGCTCTGAGGACGGCTTCCTGCGTCTCTGGCCCCTGGACTTCTCTGCTGTCTTCCTGGAGGCCGGTAGGTGCAGCGGGGGTGGAATCACTTTTACCTGCAGACTGGGCCTTCATGACAAACAGTAGATTCTGTCTGAATTCCTAATAACAATATTATGTTTTGTGGAACTCTTCCCAGGTATACAACAACCTAACACCTCTGACCAGGCTGCCAGACCTCTCCCTGTGACTTAGGAATATCTCAGAATAACTTGTTTCTTTGTGGTTTGTTTTCAGAGCATGAAGGGCCTGTGAGTTTGGTTTCAGTCTCCTCAGACTCTCTCCAGGTCTTGGCAGCAACCTCCACTGGTAATATAGGGTTCTTGGACGTGACCAGCCGTGATTACAACACTCTGATGAGGTCACATACAGACACTGTGCTGGGGTTCAGTGTGGATGGCATCCGTCGGCATCTTACGACGGCCTCTGCTGATGGAACAGTGCGCATTTGGAACATAGATTCTTTACACCAGGTCAGTCATCATCAGGCTGCTGTTTCCATTTGCCGAGTCCTGTCTTTAGAAGTCTGTCATCTAAAGTGTCAAAACGGACAAAAGGGTGAAGTGCTCAGCCGGCCAAGTCATTCAAGCACAAGTCAGAATATGTATGCAAAAAAATGATTGCAGTTTTAATCTTAATTAAATGCACTAATGTTTAGATTTTTGAATTTACGATTCATCTGTGATTGGTTGCATTGACACGTCTTTCAATCTCTCCTCTCTTTTAGTTGTTCGATTTTGTTCCCGAAGATTGTCCGTGCTCTGTTGCCTTCCATCCCAGTGAGCAGATTTTCTCCTGTGGCTCCAGCTCCGGTGTCGTCAGGGTCTTCGACATCTCCATGGCCACGCTGTTGGCTGAGCATACGTACGTCTAAGCTACCCTGGAGTAGCACTAATTCAGCAGATGTTCAACTAGATTGACACAGTGTCTTAATCCAAACCTGTCTTACAGTAAAAGTACAACATCTTGATACATTTTCTTGTGCTTTGAATGTACTCTGTAGGCCCTACAGAGTGAAGTACATTTGTATTCCCTGTGCTTCTTTGACAGACAACACAGAGGTGAAATAGTTGGTCTGGTCTTCTCTCCCAGTGGAGAATTCATGTACAGTGCTGACTCTGAAGGCTCTCTTACCCTTTACGACTCTTCTGAGGAAGACCACAGTGTGATCAGGGTTGTGTGTACGTATGCTCACAGGCTTGTACACTACTACTTACACAGTTTGTATTTTAGTACACCACATTCTAAAATCTCAGCATAGTCTACCTTGCAGATACAAATGAAATATTTTAGCCACGTAACCGGATTCCCTCTGTTCCTAGGCAACGCAGTGGCTCGGGGCATCAAGCGTGCTCCGGATGCTCTGACAGTGAGCAGCGACGGCCGCTGTCTGGCATTTGTCGGTCCCTCTGAATATATAGTCACCATCGCTGATGCAAGCTGTTTGGATGAGGTATTTACAGCATTGAACCTGTCACCTGTGGAATGTGAAGAATGGCAAAGTTTCAGCACTTTGCCATTTATCACATTCCAAAGGTCCCAGGAATGATATTTAAAAAGCAGTGAAGCACGGTCCACTGTCGCTGAATGGGTTCCTCTCTGTGTCCCTCTGTGTCGTGTCGTGTTTGTGCAGCTGCTGCATGTAGACGTGAGTATTTTGGACGTAGAGAGCCCTCATCTGGATTCTGCACTGAAGGTCTGCTTCTCTCCAGCCTCCGCCGAGCACTTGCTGGTTGCAACATCTGCCAACAAAATCCTATGGGTCAGCACTAAGACAGGTCGACTCCTTCGAGAGGTAACACCACAAATCTCTCCAGACCTCTGCGTCAACAAGTCTCTTGTTGGCACACCCAGAAAAATTGTAGGTCTCTGAACATTTCAATACAAAATATTTTTTCTCCTACAGATTACTAATGTCCACAAACACCAGTGTGCCTCCCTGGCAGTGAGTGAAGACAACCGATTCCTACTCACAGCAGGACATAATGCCGTCAAAGTGTGGGATTATAACATGCAGCTCCATATTAACTCACAGGTAGTGTCATTAGTGTGTAGTTTAATTTAAATGTACACAGTGCAGATATTTCTGGGGAAGTGTGAGCAAACATGGGGTATGTGGCTGTATGTGGTTATAAACACAGTTTCAATGCCCTGGTCGACAAGTTGAGACGAGAAGAGCAGCAAGAACGGCTTCATGTTTTTTGTTTTGTTTTTTCAGTTAGAGCCTGTAATGTGTTCAAAATAAAAAATAAATGCATTTATGTTATCTGTTAATTAAAATATTTTCTCATTTCAACATTGAAGCAGTAACTAAGGAGTAAATGTCTGTGTGTCAGATGTTCATAGGTCACAGTCGGCCCATCTGCCAGGTGAACTTCACCCCCGACCAGCTGGGAGTCATCTCAGTGGGGGACGCCATATTTATTTGGGACTTCTTGGGACATTCTGTTCACTCTGTGATTGAAAATAGGTAAACATTTTTAATCATTTATTTGAATATGTGTTGATTAATTAATAATGTATTTGCACTTACGATTATTTTCTTAGAAGAAGCCACAGCCCGACTCCAGTATCAGGTAAATGTATTTTCTATTATCTGCTCTCAATGCCTTAATAAGAATCCATGTTAAAATGATATAGACTTATATTCTTATATTCAGAAATTGTTTGATAACCTTTTCACAGCAAAAGCACATGTTGATGGAGTACACCTGTGTAATGGGATGCCTCGAAAGAAGGCTCCATTCCCTTCTTCACCACCTCCAAAGCTGGATTTCAGCATAATTGACCAAGCTGACCAGAGAAGTAAGTTCTACTGTCTGCTCAGTAATGGTCGCTCACCAGTGTCTCCTTTAAACAAATATGGGTTATGCCAAATTTAAAGAATGAATCAGTGATTGTGATTGAATTCTGTTTTCCAGCTCCTGGTTCGTCCTCCTTTTGTAATGACACTGAGGTCAACGCTACTGTTCCAGTCCAACACGGTGGCTCAGGTTCTTCATCCGCCTCCTTCCTTAAAGTTACAGAGCTTCATACCACGCCTGCCTTGTGTAGCAGCCATATTGAATATAGTAGGTGTTCCAGTGCAGTGCAGTGCAGTAACATTCACGGTGAACTCATTTTGTGTTAAGATATATTTTTGTGACTGTCTACTTGAAAAACAGGACTGTGTTGCATTTTTATTGTGTAGATTTTCAAGGAAGGAGTCCAGTACGTCCAGATTGTTACAAGCACTTTATACCACGTTTTAAGAACTCCACTCTTGACCTGGTGAGATCTAGGTCATAGTCTTTGTGCCACGTTGCAATGTTTGTTGCTGGATGTCATCTCTGGGCCACTCTCAACTTTTAAACTGTTTTCTCTTCCATCTAGACTGCTGTGACGCCCCCTCCGGGAGAAGAGGGCATTAGGCTAAAAACAGTCATTGGCTACAACGGCAATGGACGAGGCAACATGGTGTGGAGCCCTGACCAAGGTGATGCAGTGAAATGATAATATGAATATGAACTACAAAAATCTCTACACTCTGGACGTGTATGTTTTACTGTCTTTAATCAATTCAACGTCCATCCTATCAAGGCGTACGTTAGACCACACACCTGTCGAGTGTGGAGCCGTTACTGATGTATATACAGGGGTTGGTTTTGCTGCCAACATATTTGTGAGTAGGAATGGATGAAGTGTAAAGTGTGCAGTTATAGCCACTCTGATGGGTTCTGATGAACAAGTATTCATGTGGCTGTCATCATCGCTGAGCTCCACTCGTCACGGTCAGTTCTTCTCGCTGCAGTGTAATCACAGACATGTCCGTAACATTGCTTTATATTTAGTGTTTCATTATTAAGGTCTCTCTTGTTTACTGACACTACCAAATACTAGTATACGAAGAGCTTCAGTTCTTAAGAAAATAATCAAATAGCAAAGGTAATATTATTCCACTGCAAAATGTTGTGTCCAAGGTGATCATTGAAACCACTACAGCACAAGATAGTATATAACTTAAGGAAAACTCACTGTAGCTCAGTTATAGCAAGTGAATTAAATTCAGTAACTGTTGTGTCTGTTGATTATTGACTGTACCTTTTTTATTCCCAGGCTTATTTGCGTACTCTTGTGGTTGTATGGTGGTGGTGGAGTTCCTTGACTCTGGCTGTCAGAGACACTTGCAGGGACACAGTGAGGAGATTTCTTGTCTTGCTATCTCAAATGATGCCAAGGTACTTTTTATGGCTTTAAAAATCACACAATGCATCTTTTCCTTAATCAAATATTAAAAAGAAAGACATGTTTTTCTTTTTTTTTTTTGTTCTATTCTGTTTAGACATTGGCCTCAGCAGCTGCCAGCAGTAACGGCACCCAGAGTATCATCTGTATCTGGGACGTTCAGAGTGGAACTCGCCGTAAGGAAATTTCCCACCACGGAGGGATGGTGCAGAGTCTGGCCTTTTCTAGGGACGATCGCTTCTTTCTGTCTGTAGGTGAGTAAAATGAATTCTTTCTGCAGGGCATTTAAATTACATTTGCCTGCTGACCAAATGTAGTCCTGCAATCAAGGAAAGCAAACCCGTGTATAAAATCCGGAAAAAGAAAAAGAAACTAAATTAAAAATAAAATACAATGTATATATGTAAAAAACTGCTCCTGACCAGAGTTCCTCTGCCCCACCCACAGGAGATTTTTCGGACCCAAAAGTATCTCTGTGGAGCAGCAACACCTTCCAGCTTCTTTCCAGTGTGAGTGTCTCCGGCCCTATCCACGATGCAGCCTTCAGTCCTTCATCAGCCAGCCAGTTGGCCTGTGTGGGCAGCCACGGGCTTTACTTCTTCCACATTCACACCCATGGCCTGGATGTTGACTTCAAGGTGTGATGGCTACGTAAAAACAGACTTGAAGATTTGGGGAGGGAAGTTTTTCTAAACACTTTTTCTTTGCCTCAGGGTCAGAAGGTGAAAGCTCCAGAGGAGGTCGGTGATGTAGAACTGACGGCACTGTGCTACCACATGGACTCCATTCTGTTCACTGCCACTAATCAGGGACACGTTTGTGTGTGGGACATTAACACACAGCGGTGTTTCATGACCTGGGAGGCTGATGAGGGGGAGATTGGTACGAGAGATTAACCTGATTCTCCGGTTGCCATAGCAATATTTTCTAGCTCCATACTTTAGTCCAATATTTCCTTCAAGTGTTAATTTTTCAGCCTTATTCCAGTAGGCAGATCGGCGATGAATTGTGTGTGTTTTCTTGATGTAGGAGTGCTTTCGTGTCGAGGGAACTATCTGTTGACAGGCAGCAACACCCGCTGGTTGCGACTGTGGGAGATGGAAGCTGTGCAGAGATTCCAGCCTGAGGTCAAGGACTGCAATCTGAGAGACAGGTGGGTAGTTTATTCTGGAAAGGACCTGTTTTTATCAAACACTCAAGTGTTGTTTTTTATTCTGCTTATTCTGTTTTTCATTGCAAACCTCACAAATTGTGTTTAAAACTGACACCACTTTCAAAGTTCACCTTTGCTGCACAGTAATTATGTCCCTTTACTTCTATGATCATCAGGCAAACCTTGAAAAGTTATTTTTAAAGGAAGTAGATGTACTAAATAATTGCTTCATGTAATTATGCTGTCTATTATAATGTATCATCAAAAATAAAATGGTTGTCTCTGGCTAGAAC